GTAATTTTTCTTTGCTTAAATATGATTTTATCTAATTAAAAGAATTTTTCTTTCAAATAAAGTTAATTTTTTTTTTAATCTAAAAAGATTTGTCTAAAAATTCTTGAATGTGAGGAATAATTGTAAATTTAATTGATTTATTAAGAACAATTGCAATTAATGCCGGCCAACGAACTTATCTATGAGTCGAAAGATATTACGTCACGTTCACACAATATTAACGCAGTCGTTAGTGTCAACCGGCGATGCCGATGTGTATCTAAAGATCGTAGATCTTGTGTCAATCTATCTGGAAGTTCATCTGACTATTAATATGCTGAACGGAACTTAACATCGGAATAGAAGATCCTGATTAGATCTTGAGTGGAAGACATCTGCGGCTATAGATGTTTATTATTTGTTATTTTCGGTCTATTATTATCCACTTTGTGCGCAATAGAACTCAAAGTATGACATAAAATATATTAAAGCTCGAGAGTGACAAAAAATACCGACGGGGTATTTCTTGAGGGTTGAATTTTAAGGCACTAAAACTCGACAATTTCATTATTTAAATTTAGTAAATTGCAGCATTCAGGTAAAACCCGTTATCTGAATCTCGGGGGCGGGGTTAGATCCAGACCGAGATAAAGATGAAAATTATAATGAGGATTTACTGTATAATCCGCTAAATAAAAAGTATCTCTGGATTATGCAATTTTTGTAATTCGGTCGTTTGTGGAATTTCATCCGACGTAATGGCGCTTTTCCGACTTCCGACCACTTTTTTTTGTTTTACATCTTTGGATTTCTTGTCTGCAATTAAATACATCAATGAATTTTTTTTATCAATGTTCTTTTCTTAAAAGAATTTTAGAAGAAATACAGTTTTTTTACGAATAATTCAGTACAAATTAATATTGGAGAAAATTTCAATTAATTTAAAAATTTATTTGTTTATTATTTTTAAATCAATTATTAATATTATTTAAAAAAATTAATTTTTTAAATTGTATGATCACCAATTTCTCCTTTTTTGTGTTTTAAAATTATTTTCAAGAAATTTAAAGTAGTTTTTATAAAATAAAAATGAATTTATGATTTTTTGATAAAAGTAATAATGTTTTATTCAAATTTGAGATTCAGAAGTCTTCAAAATTTAATGCAAAATTAATAAAATAAATTTTTAAGATAATATTACATCACAAAAAATTTTAATAATCATGACGGCGTTGTAATTAGCAAATTGTCTAACACCATTTTAGAAAATCTTCTATTTGTACAAAAAAAAAAAAAAAAAAAAAACAGTTTAAAATTTATTATCACTTAAAAAATCCCTTTAATATCATTATTATCTAATAAAGATTTAATATTTAGGTTTGAATCATTCAAATAATTTATAATTGGATTATTGCTACATCAAAATTAAAAAAAAACACCCTCTAAAAAATAAGGAGTTAGACAAATTACTAATTAGACCGTCGATAAATTAATTTATCAAGCAAAATTAAAATTTATTATCACTTAAAAAATCCCTTTAATATCATTATTATCTAATAAAGATTTAATATTTAGGTTTGAATCATTCAAATAATTTATAATTGGATTATTGCTACATCAAAATTAAAAAAAAACACCCTCTAAAAAATAAGGAGTTAGACAAATTACTAATTAGACCGTCGATAAATTAATTTATCAAGCAAAATTAACTTCAAAACCGAGAAAAATCTTAATTAAAAAATTTTTCCGCTCGATTTAAAATAAAAAATTATTTTTTTGATTAAAAATTTATGCTTTTTAAATTAATTTAATTTTTTTATTGTTTTAATATTATTTATTTAATATTTTAATATTAATTTAGAGTATTTATTTAATTAAAATAATTTTATTTATTTAATAAATAAATAAAATTATTTTAATAATCTCAAAGAAGTTGACAAGTAATTATTGATCTTTTAAAATTACTTAAACTTTAAATAATATTTTTTAAAAAAATAATTCTTCAAAATTTTACAAATAAACTGGCTTTATTTTATCTTTTACAAAAAAAAAAAAAAGAGTAATCAGTAGTCCTCGGGTATAACTTACACAATAATTATTGGTTTCAACAATAATAAACAGCAGAGCTTAAGCTTTAGCTCTGAAAAAGAGTAATTAAAAATGTTCCTCGAAATGTTTCCTATCGGCGAAGAGACGGATTGAATTTTTGTGACGGAGAAATTAATTTTCCTCTGACACGATGATGAAAAAATGTAAAAGTGTAAAAATGTAAAAAAAGGTTATAAATGGAGGTGATGATGCGTGCGGCAGTGCAGTGATTACACGTGACGTCTATCTGAATAGAAAAATCAAATGGAATAAAATAAAATGATTTTTTATTAAACAAAATGGCACACATACTGCCGATTTGGGGTATGCAGACTCTGGTATTGTCCTGCTGTCATATGCGTATTATACAATCCTAACAAGCCACCATTTTGATTGGTGAAAGCATTCGTTGGCCCACTTTCGAGGGGTGGGTCGCTGGTCGCTTTTAGAAATAAATTTTCAGGCCACCCCTCGTGTTTTCGTCTCTCCTCGCCGAGCTCTGGCCTGTGTCACATTTATTTAACAAGGTAACGTAGTAACTTTGTTAACTTTGATTAGGGGAACCCCCGGCGAGTCAAGTGAGAGCCTAACGACCAATAGAATTGTCCCGAAGCATCAAAACGTTTATCGACGGACGTGTTATTTCTCTCGCTGCGATCCAATATAACGGATTTTCTTTTTTTATAGTTATTTTTTTACAGACTTGTTACCTTCTTACGCTCTTTGTTCGGTTATTCTATTCATTAAATAAATAAGTTCATCTATTAAGCTCAATCTGTTACGTCAGTTTGTTATTTGTCATCGGAATAGTCCCCGATTTTTTTTCATTTCCGCGAATCGTTGCTTTATAAATTGTTTGAGAATATTTTTTCAATAAAAAATCTTTTTTGGGTTTATAAATAAATTTAGGACTCAATTTTTTTAATTTAAATTGAATTGATTTATTTATTTAATTTTTAACAATAAGCTCAATGTTAAAATAATTAATTTAATCTTAAACAAAAAAAAAACTGGAACTAAGAAAAATTATTTGGATAATTTTATTTAATTTAAAATTATCAAACTCTTCTTAAAAATTTTTTAAATGGTTTATTTTGGAGTTATTTATAATAAAAATATTTAAATAATTTATTTTTTAATAAATATTGTAAGGATAAAATTTTAATTAAAAAAAATTTTTTTATTGAGTGAAAAAACAATAATTGATATTTGAATATTTTTTGTATTTGATGTTGTTAAAAAATTAGCAATTATTGTTTATTTAATTTAATTCAAACCTCTGTTTGATAATTTATAATATTTTTATATTTGTTATTTTAATTTTACAAAAAATTTCATTTTTAAAATCATTAATATTTTTTATTCGTTACTTTATAGTGTATTAAATACATTGGATTTTTTTTTTCTAAGAAAAATTAGAAAAAATTGGTGATAAAAATTAAATTTAACTTTTAATAATTAATTTAATAAATTAGAGAATTACATTTAATAGATTAGAAAAAATTATCCGACAATTTGATATTTTGTTGCGACGCAAAATATCTCTCTAATGTTATCCAATTAAATAAACTATTATTAAAAACATAAATTTAAATTTTTATATTTAAATAGATATTTATTAAAAATGATTGTAAATTAAAGTAAAAAAATAATTACATTGAAATAAAAATAAAATGAAATGAAATAAATAATTACGCCGTGAAGAAAATGCCAGTATAATTAAACTAAAAAAAAAAAAGGTGTGGAATTAAAAAAATAAAATGAGAGTAAATTTGATTATGAAGAAAGGCTTTTCATTAAAATTTTCTGCATTTGTATATAACTAAATCATTATTATAATAAAAATAGAGAAAGCAAGAATGAGCTTTTATGCCAAGTGTACATTAAAATTAAAATTAAAATTAAAATATATAAATATAAAAATATAAAATTGCTGGGAGCGCGAATGTTTATGCCTATTGAATTATTGTGCTAAAACTATGGCGGAGTAATTATAATAAACGAAGGAATGCGCCATTACTCCGGGGTAAGAAATATTTATAGAATAATTTAAACAGAATTAACAGAGCTGGACCAAAATAAATATAATAAAATATAACACACATATATTCGATGTTTACTATAATACCCGTGGATCAGTTAACGAGGAATATAATTTAGCAGAAGGGAAAAATAAAGAATAAAGGACTGCGTCAAAGCTCGCAAGTTATTCTCACGTCAACTTTAGAGGGTTTATGTTCACAGTCAAGGATATCATTATCATTTAATTTTCATGTTTACGCTGTTGCCGAGAATTTCAAGTCGTTAACCTTAGAATATAATTTGACATAACGACCAAGCTTCTGTTGTTCCTCCTTCTATATTTATATTTAAATAATAATATCACTATCGTGCGCCTCATTATTATTCCACCTCTAAATTTTAAATTTAAAACCAACAACTCAATATTTTTCTCAATAATTTTATCCCTAAAATATCCTTCCTCATTTTAGCTTTCAATTTTTCAAAACTTTCAACCCCATCTTTCGATTTTTCCCCACAATATTTCACCCCTTTTTTTACTCCCCACCGTTAAGGCTGCTCGCACGCAACCTTTCTCTTGGTAAGTACCAATAAAAAGAGTTCCGACTTTACCCGCGAGCGCAGCGAGCGCTTTTGCGGCCGTAGATAAAACAATTTTTAGCATATAATTTATTATTCTGCCGCTGCGGCGCTGCAGTAGCATTTCTCCTTCCATTTGAAGTTGAATTAAACATTGACCGTATAAGGGTTTAGCTCGCGCAGTGAAGACATACGCGGATAACATGACAGCCTCTTATAAATTAAAAGTTCTTCCTCCGGAAAATCCGCGAGCTTTTTTAATAAAACAAAAATCCTCGCAAACTTAAAATTAATTTGATTTTTAAATTTGTTTTATTTTATTTTATTTAATTATGAGTATTTCTCAAGACAGTGCAGCGACTATCGTCTGTCGCGAGGTCTTTGACGAGGCCTCACACCCTTCCAATGAGGGTGAGTTTTCACAAATTTTCCTTTTTATTAATTTAAAAAATTATTAAATGTGTATAAAAAAAATTTCTTGTAAAATTTTTTTTATAAAAATAATATAGATATTTATTAGTAGAAAAATAATTGAATTATTTATTAACTGTTAATTCGTTTGTTTATTTACATAACGACAGCTACGCAACGGTGCGACCTTATGTCGCGGTAGGAAAATCAATAAGTTTATACTGCGGGCAAAATACTGTCGCTGTGACCCTTGATTCCTTTATTTTATTATTTACAAATACTTGTGTAAAGTTTGCTTTGTGTAAAATTTATTATTTAAAATATTTATGTCAATAATTTTTATGTTTTTATAAATGTAGGAAAGTTTTAATTTAAAATAAAAGACGTTTGAATTGTAGAACAGCTCACCCTGAGACAGCTGGCCTGGCTAGCAACCCACACCCCCATGCAATGCCTATATCCTCATGCCCGTGAGCACCTGTCAAACTAGCCTTGATAGAATTTTTAATGATCGTTATTCAGCTGCCGGAAAATGCAACCGAATAATTAATCTCCGCTTTATTCACACCAATTTTCGGAGCTATATTTTGGCTTGTTAAATCTTAAATAATGAACTATATGTAATTGCTCTATTTCCGAGTTTTATAATTACAAAATTTTCCATGATTATTTAATAAAAAATCAATTATAAAAAATGTTTACGCTTTTTTAAAGAGAAAAAATCTTTAATATAATTATAATTAAAAAGAAAAAATCTTAAATAAAAATTTAATATTAAACAGCGTGAGATTTTTTTTTACGGGAAGAAATCTTCTGGAGTTGACATTGATGATTTGTTGCAGAGATTATCGATCACGCAAAGCGTATTGGAATCAACCCAATAACGGAACCACACCTCCTTGATCTTGCGCGTGAAGGGTTGATGGCACCCTTGCCGAAGGGCTGGACCCCTTGCTTCCACGAGATCTTCAAGACCTGTTACTACTACGAGGCCTCGACGGGGACCACTACCTGGGAACACCCCCTTGATGGAAAGTACAAGGAGCTCGTAAAGGCAGCAAGAGCTTCCCAAAGTCGACAGCAGAGTCTTGGTACTGCTTTTATCTTTTTGTTCAGATAAATCACGTTAAGATAGCATGATTAGATATAAGTAATCTTTTTATTCATTACTTGTTTCAAGTTCATGGTTTTATTGAACGTTCATGCTTTTATTGACCGGCATGTCGCACCTTGATGCATATAAAATTATATATGAAGCATATATGGTCAATAGATTGGGTCAAAAAAATTGACAATTTTTTTTTTTTTCAATTAAATTTTATACAAATAAGAACTTTTAATGAAAAATTCATTTCAATAGATATAAGTTTGAAAAATTTATTTTTAATCCTGAATAACTTTTAAAGGAATTAATTTATTGAGATTTTTTTTTGTTAATTTAATTGTTTTTTTTTGTAAATAAATATTGTTCAAATTTTTTCAAAGTTTCAATACAAAAATTCATTAAGAAAAAAGAAAATCAAGCTTTTAATATCAATATTAACAGCTAAAACTTTCAAAAAAAATTTTCTGCCCAAATTTAATCTCCAAATTAATTATATGTGAGTCATTTTAACGGATCCAATTATCCAATTTTTAAATATCAAAAGATTAATTAACGACAAATTAAATTAATAAATTAAACAAGTGACCTATTTTCTGTAATTGGATTCGTCAGAGCATGTGTTTAGAGATAAAACCGAATTTCGCCCACAGACGATGACTCGAAAACATTCGCCAAGGAGCTGGAATCCCACGAGGAGGCAACAATCCCCAAGGAGCCGCCCCCATCAAAGCATCCCCCGACGAAAATCCCCACGAAGCTGGCACCACTCAGGAAGTCAGTGAGTGACATGGGGAAGCGCAAGGACCACAGAAGGTCCACCAGCGAGGCCAGACTGACTGACCGCTCCGCGAGGGACTACACGAACCTCCAGTACCAGGACCCGAGGTTCTACGAGTCCCCGAAGCTGCTGAGCCCCGAGGGGGAGCTCAACTTCAGAAAAATCGTCAAGCGCTCGGAATCGATGAGCCCCAGGTACGAGAAGGACTGGGAGCAGCTATCAAGTAAGTTCAGCTCCGAGGAGAACGTCATCGACATCGACAAGCTCAGTGCCAGCTCTTTGAGCAAGATTGATGGAAAGGGTGACAGGTTCGACAAGGAGAAGCATCCCAGCCAGATCATGAGTCGCCAGAAGGAGCTCACTCTTACTGGCGGCGGCTCCATGTTTCTTAAAAGCAACAGGAGCCGTGATAACACTCCCAGTCATGAAGCCGCCAAGTTTGAGGATTTTCAGATCAACAGCCTCAGTCTCGAGAGGCCAAAGTCTATTCTACGAGAGAAGCCGCCTGAAGATGGTGAGTCCGAAGATATTTTTGATAGTGGCCTAGATTTTGGACAATAGCACTTGCTCTCTTCAAGGCACTTTTATTGTATTTTTTAAATTGACAACAAAGGCATACTACTGTTTAATTCTTTAGTTACTTTGTAGGCCGATAAATTTATTTTTAATTGTATGAAATTTTTTTTTATACACTTTGAATTGTTAAAGTTTCAATACAATTTATAAATAATCTGTGAAAAAAATTTTCTGACCATATCTGACCAAATATATGAACACCTCACGCTTTATTAAAACACATTTAGCTTTAGGTGGCTTAAAATGCCCTGATAAGCCTATATCAAGCCTAATATGTCCATATATTGTTTGGTATGACTTGATAGTGCTTAATATCAAAATTGGCTGTGTTAAAAATTTTTTTTTTTTTCAAAGAAATTTGAAAGAAGTCCTAAGTCTTATTTTTTGTAAATATTATGATTTTTCTTCCAGATGATCGACATACAGAAGAAGAACGCAAAAGCGTACGCTTTGACCTAGAAAAAAACAATTTAGACGACATCAAATTCACTTACTCAGGATCTGAGGATGAAGATTGGAATTCTGAAGTGTCAGAGCCGAAATCAGAGTCCAAAGACGACGCTCTAGATGACAAACTGGGTGCCAAGGAGCCTAAAAACAAACCATCTAGTCCTGGATCAAAAATGGTTGGCAACCGTTTTCTGGTGCAGGAGGTATCAGAGTCAGAACACTTGAGCCAGTTGAAGGAAGACTTGGATGACCTGCCGACAAACAAGTTTACAAACATAAAAAACATTGACCTGTTCTCCAAAAGCGACACTGACAGCACGCCCAGGACAGGGAAGAACGATTCCAGATCCCTGGAAACAGAGGCTCATCTCAAGAAACTGAGGTCGGATCTTGAAGGGGTGAACAAAGAAAAGGAGAGGAATAAGAGGAAAGACGACGATGTGAAAAGTGCCATTACAAGGAAACACGAGAGAGAAATTCTTGGATTGAAGAGAGAGCTTGAGGAAAGAGTTGAGAGAACGCGGAAGGAAATGGAGGCGAGCTTTCTTGAGCAGCGCTCGCAGATGGAGAAGCTCATGGAGGGAAAGCTGGAGGAGTTTAAAAGTCAGCTGCTGCTGAAGGAGCAGGAGGAGATCAATAACTTGGTCGCTGAAATGGACGAGACCAGGAGGAAGAATTTGGAGAAGGTCAGAAGTGAATTGGAGGCTTGCTATGAGAAGGAAAGGCAGGAGATTTTTGTCAAGTTGAAGAACGAGCTGGATGAGAAGAAGCAGGAGATGCTGGAGCTTAGAAATCATGAAATCGAGAAGATGGAGAATGAGTATGACAAGACGATGGACGAAGAAAAGATTCTTAAGATGGCTGAGCATGATTTGGCGCAGAAGCAGAATATTAAGATTGAGGATATGAAGAAGGACTTGGAGAAGGAATTTGATGATTTGAGAAAGAAGCTCAGGGCTGAACAGAGGGAGAAGATGACCAAGATTACCGAAGAGCATGAAAAGTGCTTGGCTGAAATTTCCCGGGATTATCGCGTTGAGGTAAGTTATGACTTCTGGTTGTGTCTTAGCGGGTTATTGATTCGTTTTTTTTTTTTTTTCAGGAAAACATGGCTCGGAAGGTCTTCAAGCAGAAGCTGGACGAAATTAGATCCGACCTGGCTCGGGAAATTGATAAGGAGACCAAAAAGATCTCCGATCGCGCTACTAGACAGGATTCCGCGGATTACGACAAAATTAGGTGCGAGAAGCGGATTTTGGAGGACAAGTACAAAACTTTGAAGGACAAGTACTTGAAATTGAAGAACGACGTGCGTTTGGCGGTAGAAAAGAGGAGTAAACGCAAAGAGGGGCATACTACAGCTTCCGAAACAGAGAAATCGGGTTCCACTAGGACCAGGACCGAAAGAACCGAGTCTCTGACTCAAAAGTGAGTCGCTAGTTTTTATAATTACTTTTAAGCATCACCATTTTTCACGTATCTTACGGCAGTTAAATTTTTATTCTTAATATCTCGTGAAAAAATTTTCTGATATAATTATTAAGTTGTAATAATCTGTCCTGATACGGCGCAATTTGAACAATTGTCCCTATCAGGTAAGATCAAGCTCTAAAAAAATTTTCCCACGGGATTGTTATTGGCTTATTTAGAGCCGCTGAGGTACGGGTTTCACCTTCATGTAATCGCCTTAATATTTGGCTATAGGCCTTAATTCGTATTAGTAGAACATCATCGAAAAACGTGAGCTCAAGCTCGAAGCTGGAGGTGAACCAGAATCAGAACCAGAACCAAAATACCGTAGACAACTCCGAGAGCCAGCAGTCCTTTCAGAGGTTCAGTCACGGAGACTCCAGAAGTGCCAAGTTCGAGTCAGACGACACCACCACCGCCAGCGAGACCATGAACTCGAACATCCTCCAGAAGAAAAAGAGCCACGCGAAAAAGACTCCGACAAAGCTTCCGTTGAACAACAATAATATCGCGGACAATCCCGTGGAGAATATCCGGAAGCAATTGGAGAAATTAGAAGACCTAGGTGATCAATTACCTACTAATGAAAATGCTTATACGTTGAGATACCCTTTCCAAGATAAAGGTATAGTCTGCGTGTTGATTTTCCTCCAAAAAGCTCCGGTTTATAGAGCTTATTTCGGTTTCAGTTCCCGTCAACGCTTCGTCGGAGCTCGAGTTCTTCAGACACCGGATCCACGTCGAGAGGGACTCCGTGAAGCGCGCCAGAGAAACTTTGAGAGCACAGAAGAACATCTTCCAGGGAGTGCAGAAGGCCTGGAAAGAACGCAGTGCTCGAGCTACTTTGGAGCAGCTCGTTCAAGTATGTCTTGTTGTTTTTGTTTGCCTTTCAGTGCCTGGCTAATTCAAGTGCTTCTAGGAGGAACGAGAGCTTTCGGATATGGAGGTCAGTCTCCATCGCACCAAGAGTCTTCTCGGTGAAAAGGTTATTCATCTCAAGCATCTCGAGCAGTCATTAGAGCGCGTTGCCAACGCTAAGAAAAACGAAAATGATATCAGCCCAATTAAGAGCGATGAATTGACTCTCAGTGATATCTCCAGCGCTAGCAGCGGATTTTCTTCTACTGATCTGGGTATTTTTATTTTACACTTTCCAACCTTTTTAGGAACTTCTTATTTATTTTAGTGATTCAATGCTTACAGACAAACCCGATTATTATCAAGAGTCCACGGAAATAATTGCGAGTCTTGAAAATTTGAACTCAGAAATACGGGAAATTTGGAATGTTCTTAATAAGCGCAGGGGTAATAATGTACCACCGCCTCCTAATTTGGTTGGTTCTGACACCAGATGGTTTCCTTTTCAGCATCTTACTACTCAATCAAATAATATTCAAGGTATTTGATTGATAATTTAAATTTTTTTTTTTTTTTTTTTTTTTTTTTTTTTTTTATTATACGGATTAATATAATAATTGACCATATTGTGAATTTTAAAAATGATACTTGAAAATTTTGTTTCCTTCTTCCTAATTTAACAAATTTTTGACAGGAATTTTTTTTATAAATATAATAAGTCCAGGCATAAAAATTAGTTATTTTGTAAAATAAATAAAATTATTATTGCCATGTAAAAATGTTTCAGGTTTCGGAACTCCGAATATTCAATCAAATATTTTGTCACAGCTGACAGCTCACCCGCCGACGACAACGCAGAATATAATTGCTCAATACGGACCAAATAGTGGATTCACGACGAGTGTCGGAACGGTTGACCGCGGGTCTAACTTGATTGAGCGGACGCGAAACATGCGAGACTGGTTGAGGCAGGCGCGTGTCGAGACCACAGATTTAATCAGCACCGGACAGGCCACTCTATAACTATCAGAATTTTTATTTTTTAACGACTCTATTAACGATTGATATTTATATTAATATTATCACAGTAGACACGATAATTAATTCGTAGGAATTTATTACTCTCCTAATTGATAATTTATTATTGATGTTGATAAATTACAACTAATCAATTTATATATTAATATATTATATATTTTAGATAACTTTTTGGTTGTCCTTGTAAATTTATTTGCGTAATTTGTAAATAGTGGATGTTGTACAGGAAAGAGAAAGTAATTTTTATGAAAAAAAAATTATAGTACCTTTGTTTTATCATTTTATAAATATATTTAATATATAATATTACATTTTTTATTCATATATATGCCAAAGTAACACGCAATATCGGATATTGATTGACTTAATGAACGATTGGTAATTAATATGACTTTACGGGCAATTTTATTAGAGTTTCAATCTTGATGCAACAACCAAATGATTAATTGATGTGATAAAAAATAAAAGTATGACAGTAGATTACTTAAAATTAAAACGATCAAAAGTTAATATTAATGATAATTAAAATAATTGTTAAAAAAAAAAAAATTATACTCCCACGACAGATTTAAAAGTAAGTCGTTATTGTGCTTCCCTTGTTATTTTTATTTGTGATATCTTCACTCAACTGATAAAAATTTTCAAATAAATAAAACATATAATTCCTTAGTATTTTATTTGTTATTTATTTATCACTTTCAAAAATACATCAAAAATCCTTTGATTTAAATTTGTGCTTTTTCAAGGTTTCATATCATTCTCACCGATAGTCAATTTATGATGACAAATATTTAGGCTGCATTTGAAAATGATCTATTTCTAGAAATATAATTAAGAAATGACCTTGTATCTTGAGAACTATTGACATTTTTAAAGATATAAACTCATCCTGATGTTACACTCATCGAGACTTTTCATTTGAGTACCCACATCAATTTTTCATATATTTATATATATTATATATATGTATACATCAAAAATATAGGAAAATGCATGTGGGTACTCAAATGAAAGCGCTTAATGAGTGTCATATCGGAATGAGCTTATATCTTTAAAACGTTAATATTTAAGAAAGTACAGTTCAATTTAACAAAATTCATTATTTAATAAACCCAAATTTTATTTATTTATAATTCACAAGTTACGGCAGTCACATAGTAACTGCAAGGTTTTGTTAGTTATAATATTAATTCATTTTTAACTTCAGTACAAAAAATTAGCTCTCAATTTTTCACAAATTCAACATCAAAACTTTGATAATTAAAAATTCAATTTTCTAATTTCCAAAAATATTTTCACTCTTGTTCAAATTCTTCTGGAAAAACTCGACAGTCTTTATGTTCTTCTTCACAATTCTCCGAATTATCTTCAAACTCCTCTTTACTCGGCAGCCAAGACGTAAAAATTGTTTTTCTTGACCCATTAATTGACTCGCTCTTTAAAGAAGTTTGAGCTTTCAAAATAAACGGTGCCATTTTGCAGATCAAAAGCTTTACACACGACAAATCCATCCCATCTAATTGCTCGGTTATTTTCCGCGGAAGTTCTGGACTTTGGGCTTGCTTCAGTAAATTTTGGACCTGAATTCCAAAATTAACCTTACTTTTAATTGAAAAAAAAAAATAAAATGATCTAAATAATTACCTTGTCGTCCGTAGAATCGATAATTGATTTCAAAACATCGAATTCAGAGTCCTCAGACTCTTCCCTTGAAGATTTGACTTCAAAAAAGGACGCGATCTGTTCCAAAAATTAAAAATTTGAGAAAAATTAATCCTTTACATTAAAAAAAAATAATTACTCACCACTTGCGCGAGAAAAATAGCAGAGTTGACAGTTATCGCGGCTATTTTCGGTGAATCTAATCCCAGAAGCCGAAAAAAAACAGAAGCCAGGCTTCCAAACCCGCCGCTCCGATCTCCAGCGTCTTCTGGTGGGCTCTCATCACCTTTTTTACGATCGGGCTGCTTCTTCAAGCTGTCAGAGACCAAGTCCGCGACTTCTTTCACCGTTTCCAAGTAATTCCTCATGCTTTGCAGCCCATTTTTCAACTTATCAAAAAATCCTGTCCAAAATTTGACAAATTAATTATAAATTAATCCACAAGTTAATTCAAAATTACCTTCTTCGCAACTTGTCGCGGAAATAAGACCGACTAAAATGAATATTTTGAGAGCAGTCATCTCTCCTGGGTATCTTAAACTTGTATGAACTTCTGGGCTAGCGGGACCTGGCAATTAAGCGACTTACTTCCTTTGATGAAAGTGTCACAAGTTTCGCACCGGCGCTCAACCATAAATAACTATCCTAGAACTCTAGAACATTACACAGTTGCGATTTAACTGCGGAAGATTTAATATCAGAGATGATTCTCTTCTCTAAGTGTAATTTGATATTTATTTGCACTTTGGTGATCACTTTGCTGCCCTTCGGGCTCTTGGAGCTTTATTACGATGAAGTTCAAAGCTTGAGCGAACTTCCAATGGATAAACTTTTGAAAATACGATCCAGTTTCGGCGAAATCGGTCAGTAGAATTTTTATTCCTATAAATTATTAATTTAATTGATTTTTTAAAAATTATATAATTTTTTTTAATTCAAATTTTGAAAAAAGAACACTTAAAAAAAATTATATTAATTTTTTAATCATAAAAATTTCAATTAAATTTAATATATTAAATATTAATAATATAAATTTTGCTAAAAATTTATTATTAATAAAAAAATTATTGACTTTATTTTATTTAATTAAAATTTTGTTTTTAATTAAAAAAAAAGTTAGAATATTTAAAGTTTTCTTTTTATTAAAAAATATATTAATAATTAATTATTAAAAAAATTTAAGAAGAAGATTTAGAAGAGGAAGAAGAGGAGAATGGCTTAGAAGGAAGAACAATTCCTTTAGCTTACAAGTTGCCTCAAAAAAAAATCGGGAACAAATTGCGGAGATACGGTGGGTGGGAGGAAAAAGGCGAGGAGAGTAAAATTTCTAAAATATTCCAATTTTCTTTAACAACTCTTTCGTTTCTCGCCTTCGGCGGATACTTGCTCACATTAATAATTACTTCTTTAAAAAGAAATTCGGGTACTTCCGGAAATGTAATCGTTTTATCGGTAAGAACCTTCATGTTTTTTTTTTTTTTAAATTTAATTTTGTGGATTTTTATGAATAAAAAATGGAACTTTTCAGAATCTGCAAAAATTCACGAGACCAAAGCGTGACGTGATAGGAATAGACCCAATGGAGAACGACTTCAACACCGACAGACTTTACCGCGGGATGATAATGCTCTCGGAGGAGTTCGCGTCTTACTCCAAGCCGAAGCACTATTGATAGATATTATTTAGTTATATTTTTATTGTATTATTTATTGCGGCTGTCAATGTGAGCTGGCAATTGAACTTTTTTCGATCATTAACTGTTCTGAAATCAAATAAAATCTAATAAGAGCGTGTGTGGGTGTATGTGCGCTCGGTGTTTGTGTGGTAGATGTGTGTGGATAAACTACCGGGATGTGTATACACAAACTACGAGGAATATTCTCGACATGTAGGTGGTATAAAGCTTCGAATATGCTTTCCCAAATAAACATTTAAGTGTCTGTATACAACGCTCCAGGGATCTGATGATAACCATATGGCGTACGCCGATGAATTTTATCAAATTTACTCGCTTTTTTATTTTCGTTTATCTACTTGTAATTAATTATTTTTGTGATTTACAAAATTTTTAATTTAATTATCTAAAAGTTATTTTTAGCTTTTAAATAGCAATTTTTTTTTTTTTTTTATTATTAACAATTACAATAAATAACAATATTTGACTAACATTTCAAAGCTTATTTTTTCATCTATTGACAAAAAATCAATGTAAATTTTTTTATTAAAAAAATTGCAGTGCTATCTATTAAAAATATATTTAATTATGTTAAAAAACTATAGAGGGCGCCGATAAAGGACAACTTTTTGACAATTTACATTTTATGCGCAAGTATGAGCTTTAATTAATGGAATTTTTGGTTATGAGTGAGGTTGGCGCACGAGCAAAGTGTGTGTGCTGACACACGAGTGCCGAAAGTACTTTTTAGTCCTTAACAAATATTTCTTAATATTTAAAAATATTTAATAAATGAATATATCAGAATTATTAAATACAAACAAATTATTTTAATTAATAAAAAATATTTGTTTAATACTAAAAAGTGGTCTCTAATAAATTATTTGTTAAATATTAACAAATATTTTTAACTAATAAATAAATCCTATCAGTGCCCTAACGTTAAATGATCCCAGATGAAGTTCAAGGATAATGACACCCAAAAAAATAAGAAAACTTAAGTTTATAATTATTTTTCCAAAATAATTGGGGTATTTAAATTGACTTTGATGGAAATAAAAGGAATAAAGTAAATGAGTCCATTGCTTATTTATGAGTAATTACATTCTGTAATTATAATTGAGCTAAAAATCCATGATAAAAGGGTTCAACAGGGTAACAAGCTTATGTGTTGGTCTACTGTCGAATAAACATACATAAAATCCATGAAAAAAGAGCATAATACGGTAAGAAGCTTATAAACTGATAGTGGGATCAGTAATCAGTAATACCAGTTGTCGTTGGGATCAGTTATTATGGAACCATTAAAACAATATTGTTGTAAAAAAATTATATTTTTGTATTAATTGTTACTTTTTATTACAATTATCTTATTAATATAAAAACTGTAATGAAATTTTAAATGACAGCATAAGAATGAAGATGAGAATGAGAATGAGGAGAATGAATATGAAGATAAACAAATAAAGATGCAGTATAATCTACTTAAGATTGTTTAATATATATAACCAATATTTATTTTCTCAGCTTCCGGATGATCATCTCAGTACCCACGGGTTTTATTTTAAAATAAGCCACGCCTCCGTTTAGTTTTAGTGGCAAATCAGCGGGATCTCACTGTCTGCTGCTAAATGACGATTATTGGTTTACGTAAACTTCCCCAGGAATCTCCACAGTCTACCAGATTAATTTATTCCTCTGAAAAATACGCACTTTGTTACAATGTCTTCCGACTTTCTCAATCTTTAATTGTCAATTCTTATTAATATCAATAAAGTTAAAGATGGAGTACAGTGTCGAATCATCTAAACTAAAATTCGGGGTAGAGAGAATTTTATCTTCTGACTTTTGCAACAAAACTCTCCCCATTCCCAAAGTGACTATCAAGTTGTTCGGAAACTACTCCGGCCAAGAGTGTCATTGCATTGGTGGGTGTAACAAGTGCATGAATTTTTGTAATTTCACTTCTGAGTCGCTTTGTGCGCCGAATTATACAAGTGTTATTGAAAAGTATCAAAGTATTTGTCGGCCAGCTCCTTTGAGGCCCATTCCTCGAGGTAATTATTCACTTTTTTTGTTAATAATTAATTTGATATTAATTAATTAATTATACGTTTCCTAAAAAAATATTAATAATTTTTTTTGGACATAAATTTATCTTTTTTTTAAATAAACAATTAATTTATTTTCATAAAAATAATTTAGAAATTTTTTTTAGAGCTCTAATGATTTAAAATAAAACTTTTTTAATAAAATATCAAAATTTTAAAAGGTTTAGCACCTAAAAAAAAAATAAATATTACAAGTATATTAATTATTTTAATAAAAAAAAAATTTTTTTAAATAAATAATTAATTTAGTTCGATAAAAATAATTTATAAATTTTTTTTATCGAACTAAATTAATTATTTAAAATAAAATTTTTTTGATAAAATATTAGAATTTTAAAAGGTTTAACACTTAAAAAAAAATTTTAAATTACAAGCGTATTAATAATTTCAATTAAAAAAATTTTTTTTAATATTTTATGAAGCTACAATATTCAAAAAAAATTTTTTTAGATACAAATAGTGAAGAAAAAAATTATTTAAAAAAATATTGAAATTTTTTATCGGCTTAATAATTAAATAGAATATTTTTAAATATAATAATAAGGTAATTTTGGGTGTAATTAATTTCTTAATTACAAAAAAAAAACAATAGCAAGTTTCTTAGTACAACAAAGTTGATCATAAATGACAGAATAATTACCAAAAATAATAATGTCAAGTGTAAAGTTACATAATAAATGACTAGTACCATATGGAGAGCAGTCTTGTTTCCCTGAATATCTATAACAAACCTGCAATAGAGACGATAATATTTACACTTTAGTGTATTCTTGCGTTTCCTGTCTATGTTTAAACGTTATCCTAAGTGCCTCGGATGATTTACCCGCTGTGTAAACACTCTCTAGAGTCGATGATTTGTCAAAAATCCATTATCCGTCAAATCAAAAAGCACTGATCAAAAAAACCGGATAATTAATATTAACAATGCCATTTAATTAAATAAATAAATAGCAACCGCGAGACGTAAATACTCGGTAATAAACTTGGTAATTTACACGATTAGTAAAATTTGTCTGCGGGTAATAAAACGGGAGCTTGTTTAGGTCACGACACATGTTGTATACTTTAAGGTTGTAAATCTTGGGCAAGTACAGACAGAGTATGACTCGACGAAATCTTTTGAACGCTTAAATTCTTTTATCTTTCAGTAATTCCAATCATTAGTTATGATTTTGTAATAAATTTGGGATTTTTTTAGTTCCCGTCTCTTCGACGACGACGACGACGACGACGACAAATAATACAGAGAGTGGATCCAGGAGGAAAAGGTCTTGGTCAAGGGCTGTATTTAGCGCTTTGCAGAGAAAAGGATTGGAGAAGAGATTTTCGCTGCAAAAATATATTACTAAGCCAGATAGACGGCAATTAGCGGCTACTTTAGGGCTTACTGATGCCCAAGTAAGTCAAAAATTTTTTTTAATTTAATTTTTGAATATTTATTTTATTTTTTAATTCATTGTATTTTTATAAAAAAATTAAATTTTAATTTATAAATAATATATTGATTAATAAAATTTATTTTAGTTGAAAATATTATTATTTATATTTAAATTTAATTTTTTAATAGAAAATATTTTATTAAAAAAATTTACTGAGTTATTTTGAAGTCAAAAATTGAATTAAGTTGTATAAAAATTATAATTTATAAATTTTTTTTTATTTAGGTAAAAGTATGGTTCCAAAATAGAAGAATGAAGTGGCGACATAACAAAGAAAGCGAAAATATAATCCCAGAAGGATCTGATTCCCAAAAAAACTTACCAAAGCACCAAAATCAAAACCAAAATTCGCAAAAAAGTTCCAATTCAAAGCTAGAACTCTCGGATGAAGAAGAAGAAATTCAAGTTGACATTTGAACTATGTTCTTTTAAGTACACTTTAGTTAAAAATATATTTCTTGATATTTTACATTAAAATAAATAAAATAAAACAATTTTTATAAACTACACTGTTCCCAAAAAAATTATTCTCCGAGTACGGCGCGCAAAGTCATAAAGTACGAAAGAGTACTCGACAGAAACTGAAAAAAAAGTTGAAAATTATTCTTCAACTTTTTATTTAACTCTAGTTACTTATTTTTGGCTTACTGTTGCGTAAAATTGGAGAGTGAGAGCTGGAAGAACACCGACGATAGATATTACCAGAGGTTTTTGGGCCCGACGGATCATCGCCAACGTAGATTTCTGCATTTCCATTGATTTTCCGATCCACGCGGATTTGTAGATCGACCAGGCGACTTTTTCGCTCTTAAAACACGTTTTTGAAGTTAAAATTAATTATTTTGAGAATTTTTGGCTACTGACCATCGCTCGCAAGTCGTCCGCTGGCCAAGCGCTAATATACAATCTCAAACATCCGCCGACTACCATTAGAATGAATTGCGACAGTACTGGAAGAGGTTGGCGCTGTTTGGAGCAACAAATTCAAATTTTAATTCTATATTTGATAAATAAACATAATTATACTTGCATAGATGAGCGGAATCGCGCCAAAAATGACCGCCATTGCCATTGTTGCGTTGCTTTTTAGAATAATGTATTTAACTGGCTTCGAAAGTTGTTTTACGAACCTGACAGTTCAAAAATTGTCAAAATTATTCTTCAAAAAATTTTTTTTCTTAGAAATTTATAAAAATTGAACCAAAAATAATTTTGAATCCATGATTTTTAATTAAACCTTCAATTTTTGATGTTGAATCAAAATTCGAAATCCAAAAATTGATTTGCAATTACCGTATGCAATTTTGATGTTCAATAATGCAAATTTTGAGGTCTTCATTGCTAGAAACCTCTTCTAATTTTTGTGACAAAATTTCTAATCTTGTCGAAGAGTAGCTCAGCAACAGCGCCACCGTAAAATCCACGGTAATTCCCAACCCTGTTTGCAAAATTGCCAAAATTTGCTGGATGTAAATAACGTAGTGTCTGGTCGAGAAAGGTTTAATGTCAAACGGATACCAAGTGTCTGCTGGTAGAATTTGCTTCATAAAAATCGGGCCGCAGGAAAATGCAATTGCCGTTTGGAAATAGGAGAGCCCCACAAAAGCGCAAAAGGAAAAGTAGCGGCTTACATATTTTCGGAAAATCACCTTCTTGTTTTCCTTTGACATTTTTATGTAGTCTGATATTTCTGTCAGCAAAATCTGTCCAAATAATTAGAAAAGTTTCTCAATAAACTTTAGTAAAATTCAAAATTACTTACATGCAATTGCTGCCGCTGGATTTTGCAGATCAGCAAATTAAAAAAGACGTCGCCCAAGGCTGTCAATTCCGACAGCGACTTCATCATCGAAATAATTTCCTTCCTATTGAAGTACGCGCCCAACATCAGCGGAACAAGAAGCGTGATGACGTTCAAAAAGAAAATGCTCCATAAAAATTCTCTTGCTAACTTTGATACTCTGGAGATTTTTGGATCCGGAGGCCAAGTCGACGTCAGTCTTCCGAGAATCGACAGAATGTGGACTACAGTCGCCGGCTCGACGTACATTGTTCTCTTGTTTCGGAAAATTGTTCGATAAATAAAGGTACAGGGCTTTGTTCTGCACTAGACTACACAAAGAACATCAAAGCTTCAAAGTAGAGACGTAATTAACTTTTATTGCGTTCGATGAATTAAAACGGGGGATTTATTATTAATTTTAATTGATTGGCCGTTTGATGGCGGTTAGAATCGGCTAGCCGTCAGAAATGGATCAAAGGAATACTTAAGTAGCTCATAATTGCTCGTTAGCGCTAAAGACATCAAGCGGAATTGTTTATTGGCTTTTTTTTCTATTGACTTACTACGCTATACAAGGGCGTGCATTGCCGCAAAGTAGGAAAACGCTGTTGAAAGAAACTGAAACAATTATTGGTCATTAAATGTATCGTTTTATAATTTTTATTTCTTTTTGATGATAATTACGTTTGAGTAGAACTCGTTGGAGAGGGTCTCTAGAAAACCTGGAATGTTTATCGTTATTGGCTTTTGCGTTCTGTGGATTACTGACAGCCAGAGCTTTCTTATGACTGGTGAGTGCATTGCTGTTGTGCTGAATATTTTTTCTGAGACTGATTCACTTGACTGTAAGTATTATTTTTTTTTTTTTTTCATTTTATCTTTCAAATTATTAATAATTATGAAACAATAATTATTAATAATAATTTTTTAAATTAATTTTGGCACAATTTTTAATAGTATCAATTTGAATTTTTTTTTCACTGATAGGATTTGCTTATAGTTAAAAATATTTTTTAATATTCATCAAATCATTTATTAAAGACAATTCACTTTCTAGTCCTTAATAAATATTTCTTAGTATTTAATAAATGAATATCAAATTTATTAAATACGAATCATTTTAAAAACATGTACTAAGAAATATTTATTTAATACTAAAGGTCTCTAATAAATGATTTGTTAACTATTAAAAAATATTTTTGTGTATAAATAAATCCTTCTATTAGTGTTTTTAATTATTAATTATTATTATGATTAAAATAAAAGTTATAGAAAAATATTGATACAATTTTTAAAATATTTTCAGAGTGTTTTATAGTCTTATAATTTAGTAATTAGATTTTGAAAAAAATATTTCTTACTACAGTTAGCAAATTATCAGCGGCCCAAGTACAAACATAAATATTTATCGTCGCACTAATGACTAATATAGCAAATTGAACTTTAACAGTAATTGATTCGTCTGAAATAAGAACAATGGCTCCGAAAATCATTCCAACTTTTGTCATAGTCACTGTTGTAAGAACAATAAGTCTAATTGGCCGGACAACCTGCTTAGCAAACCTAAAAAAAATTATTCTCTACATAGTAGATATATATATATATTAGAAAGAATAATTAAATGAAAGTTGTAAATATCAAATAAAAACCGCAAGATTTCCTGATGTGTTTTGATGATATCCCGCATTTTATCTAGAGATCTTAAACTGTCTATTTCTGAGATAAGTATTTCGAATCTCGCACTAAGGTACCAGAGAAACAAAGCAGCTTGACAGTCTAGAGCCATTCCAGCGGAGCATTGGTACCCAACAATGCACTGATGTGCATAAACAATCGTAGCAACTACAGGGTGGTCCACAGAAAACGGGTAAACAGCGTCACTGGGAAATTTTTCAGGTAGCACCAGTGGTCCCATCAACACCGCGGTTGTCGTCAAGTAGTAACTACATGTCATGTATCCGTGGAACATCCAGCACTTGTTGACGTATTTTTGTAAGTACAATCTGTCATTTTGACTTGCGTTTTTTATAAAATCATTCAATGACCCTCCAAGCTCCTGTTTGATTAAAAGTTTTGTAATTTAAAAAATTATTAAACTAAATATTAATTTAAATTCAAACCTGCAGTTCGTCCCGGTAAATCCTGCAGACAATAACTTTGAGCACAAAGTTAACAATTCCCGAAATGAGGATGAATGATTTCATAACCACAAAGGTATCATCGATGAGCTTTATCACACATACTATCAGCGGGACAAAGAGTCCCAGAGACAAAAAAATAGAAAACCAGAGAAAAGCTTCGAAGAGTATCAAATTGAGTCTTCCTGTTGGCGCCCAAATGCAAGTTAACCAGACGGTAAGTCTTGTAAAAGACACAGCGGCTTCTGGGGTGACTTTAGACCTTCCATTTTCAAATCCAAGTCTTCTGATAGCTGGTTTCATACTAGCGGTTGATGAACAAAGCGCCGGTTAGAGTTGTTACTTATTATTAAATTTCCGAGACGGTGAGGCGCTTACTCTTGCAGCAGGGGTTATGAATTTATAATGGATATTACTATTTAAAACTTGGAAGGGTTGAAACGCTGATGCCTCGGAGGGGTGTTATTTTTTAACGAAGAATACAATAGATGATACATAGTAATTATTCAGCCGGGGTTCACGGAATAGACAAAGGGCGAGAGTATTTTTAGTAGGAGTTTCTTGCTGCGCTAGCTCTAACAGTTTCATAGTAATTATTTAACCGCGAGGAAACAAAAGCCACGAGTATTTTTAATGTCGATTTGTTGGAGTGATAGAGGCTGGACAGTTGGGGGTGCTTACATCGATATAATATTAAGGAGAGAAACTTTCTTGCCTCGAGAAGTTATTTCAATTATATAAAATAAATTTAGCTGATATAATTCGATAAGTTAATATTTTTAATAAAGTTTATTTATTATTTTTTTTTATAAATGTTAGTATTTTATGATTTTATTAGATAAATAAATTTATAAGTTGTGAAACTATTAAAATAATTATTTTAATGGCTTCTAAGAATTAACAACTGCTCTGATCGCTGTAAAAAAGGAGAATGCCGCCGAAAGGAACTGCAAACATAATTTTTATTTTTTTTAATATTTTATATTTTTTAAATTAAAGCTTAATCCTTTTATTAAATTTTGTTTTTATGAAATTTAAAGGCAAAAATACATACTGAAGAGTAATATTGATTAGAAACTGTCTCTAGAAAACCGGGAATGCGTATCAGCACAGGATACTGCGTCCTATGTATGATAAGAAGACACGTTTTTCTCATTTTTTGGTTCAATGTCCAGAATGAGTTAAATACTTTGTTTGACATTCCATAGCTCGTCTAAGAATAAGATATTAGTTAATTATAATTACAAAATAACAAGCACAATACTTACAAGTTCAATTAGTCTATCCGCTGGCCTGATAAAGGTGTAAATATTTAAGGCAGTAAAGATAACTATTACTCCACACTGAAGTTTTTCAATCGAGCCTTCGCCCTGTAGATCCAGGTGTAATTTATAATTTTTTCTTAATTTGATTTAAAAAAAAAAAAAAAATTGCATAAATAATTTTTATTAATCATTAAAATTCAAATTTTCAGATAAATTTTCTCTGTAATTATTTATTAAAAAATTGCCCGAATTAATTTTATTTAATTAATAAAATTTACTTAACTGATATAAGAACAACCGCAGCACAAATCATAATAAACTTATTAATGGTGACCGTCGAGAAAACGACAGCCCGAATCGAAGGAATAGTTTCATCGACGAATCTACAAGTGGATAAAAACCGCTGAAAATTCAAATAAAAATCTTGAATCTCAATTATCAATCTTATTAATCAGTATATATTTTACAGCAACAAAGACTGGTGATTCCTGATAAACTGTCTTAACTGAAGATGATCCTCGACGTGGTCCATTTGAAGAATCAGCCCCTCGAATCTTACACACAAGTACCAGAGGTAAACCGCCATCTGGCAATCGAGAACAACCGCCGCTGCAGCTTGATACCCTCCAATGCTCTGTTGTAAGTAAACAATCACCGTAACTAGTGTATTTTCTGTAGAAAATGGATACACCGCCTCTGTTGGAAATTTTTGCGGTAGCACTAACGGTCCGAGGAGAAATCCAGTTGTCGTAAAGTAGCTACCGATTGTTACGAATAATTGAAATTTCCAGCACTCGTCGACGTATTTTTGGATTATTTTTCTCTCAAATTTGTCCGCATTTTCTATGAAATTTTTTACTGACCACTGTAGCCTCTGCAGGACAATAAATTACTTAAAAATTATTTTTCTAATATTATAAAATTATAATTTTTCTTTTTTCAACAATTATAAAAAATTTAATTTATTAAATTAATTTAATTAATTAAATTTATATTTTTTGGGACTTTAAATAAATTAATAAAATAGCGTACCAATTATTAAAATCAAAAATTTTTTTCATAAAATGAAAAAAAAAAATTTGTGTTAATTAAATATACCTTAAAATTATTGCAGTATATTCTGACAATCACAACTTTAATAACATAGTTAACTAGACTGCTCATAAAAGTCAAGGATTTTATCACTACCACTAATTTGTCCAAGTTCTCGAGAATCGACAGGAGCAAAGATAAAAAAAAAGTAACTGTCAAAAGCACCGAAGCTATCATAAGTACTCTAAACAAAAAAAGTCGTAACTTATCAGCACGTTTAGGCGCGAAAATACAAGTCAAGAAAACTGACGTCTCGGTAAATCTAATAGCCGTTTCTGGCGTAACAATGAATCCGCGTCGGCCAGTTTTCATATTGATCAGCTCAGTTTATTAGCTCGGCTGTCAGATAACGACTGCGGAAGCAACAAAGTTACTTACCAACTGAACCCGAAGCTCCTGATGAATAAATAATCACTATCGCAGAAGTTGTTAACGCACGTTTAGAATCTTGTTATTATTTTAATTACAGGCCTAGAATTGTACTCGGACCTTAGAAGCTACTTTAGTACGCTTTTTAAAAGATTTTTCTTTGTGGTTAGTGATTTTTACGGTAAAGACCATTGTCGGACGTCAATACGTGAAATAAGAATTTTTTTAAATTGATTTATAGTTTGAAAAAATCCAGTGATTGAGTCAATTATTTTTTTTTTTTGAATTCTTTGAAAGAATAGTAGGTCACCGAATGTGAATTGTTAGATAAATCAGTGTCAATTATTGCAATTAATAAAATAAAAAAGAACTTAAAAATTATATATCTATATTTATTGTCTACATTTATCCGACTAGGGACCCTGCGCATTATCGTCCTATTTCAACTGTTTTACATTGTTTTTTCACATTCGCCCTATTTTATTATTATCTCATAATTAAATGAGCGTTATGAGTCGTCAACTTTTGGATTTTCCAAATTTTTAAAAATTAATATCGAATAAAATTAAATTATGCATTAACAGCGACAGCGACACGAATTGTCGCAAAAGCTGAAAATGCAGCTGAGAATAACTGAAATTAATAATGAAAATTTAATATTAATTTTTATTTTAAATATTTGACATAAAATAAATATCTCACATACTGTTGAGTAATATTCATTGGAGAGAGTATCAAGTAGGCCTGGAACATTTATAGCAACAGGTTTTTGGGCTTGACGAAGAACTATCGTCCATAAAACTCTTGTTTTAGAGTCATGCTTCCACGTCAGACCAAATATCTCGTCAGACAAACTCTTGCTAGACTATCAAAATAAATAAATAAAATAATTTAAATTAGCTTTAAAATTATCAATATTTATTTGCGATAAATAAATATTTTTTTCATATAACCTGCATTAAAAATGCGAGTTTCAATGCCTGTTGAGCCAACTGAAACTAGACAATTTCAGACCAATGCGACTGTGCTGGGCAGTAATCAATTATTACTTCCCGGCGGACAGAAAAAATGACGAATTACTGCCCGCGAGATGAAGTTGCAGCTTTATTTTCAATCCTATCAATTGTTTGTTTATTTTATACCTTTATAATTCTCATTCTAACCATTAACTGTACTGACATATTATAATTCTGTTTAATAACATAAATAAGAATGACAAAATAAAACTATTCAATTTACGAATAATGTTTGATAAAAAATAAACTATTACTTTCTATTTTATTATAAATTTTATAATAAAATGGTATTTTCGCTATTCGTCTGTAACTATATCTAGTTCCGGTTGGCTCCAGACATTGAACTAGCATTTTTAATGCAACTTATATGAAAAATATAATAATGTGTGACGCGGGATGAAACACGATTTTAGACCGAGTGATGCCAGCAACTTCACTCTGGTCTGAAATCGTTTTGTTTCATCCCTAGTCACACAATATTGTATATATATACTAATTAAATTATTTACAATAGTTAGCAAATAATTAGCAGGCCAGATGCAAACGTAGAGATTTATTATCATACTCAGCGCCATTAATCCAAATTGAATTTTTACAGCCAGTAGTGTATTCTTTGAATAAAATTTATAATTAAGAATAGACGTTTTTTTTTTTTTTTTTTGGCTCATTAATATTTTAAATAGTTCAAATAAATATCTGAGAACTCAAAATTTAAATAATAAATATTAAAAATAAAACAAAAATTCCTTACTGAGATCAAAAATATCCCACTTATAATTATTCCCAACTTAGTAATAAATACTGTAAAAAGTGCCAATATTCTGGTCGGGGCAATCATTATTTTCGCGTATCTAATAAAAATTAATAAAAAAATCACTGATAGAATTTATTTATAATTACTTTTAAAACGTTAAAATTAAAAATCAGTTAAAAAAAAAAATAATTTAACAATTAAAATTAATTACCTCAACAAATTTTGGTATTTTTGAATGTAGCGAAATCGAATTTAAATCGAATTTAACACTGATGAACCAGATGAAAAGCGCCGCCTGACAGTCAAGAACCATCCCTTCGAAGCTCTGGTAAGCAATCAGACATTGGTGCATATAAACGATCCCCGCAACAATTGGATGTTCCACCGAAAAGGGGTAAATCGCGTCGCTGGGAAACTTCTGGGGCAGCCACGCCGGGCCGACTGTGAATGCTGTTACCATCACGAAAATACAACATGTCAAGAAAAACTGGAATTTCCAGCACTTGTTGATGTACTTCTGCAAAGTTTTTCTTTCATTGGCGTTTGCATTCGCTACAAATTCTTCCAATGACGAGTTTAGTTGCTTTAAAAATAATATTTATTATTTAATTTAATTTTTACTTATTAAATTTTTATTTTTCATAATTTTTATTATTAAAAATAACTTAAGTATTTAAGTTTATTATTTTTTATCCTAAAAATACTGCAGTAAAAAATAAATAATAATTTAAGTAATTTTTTATTAATTAAATAATTATTTTTTACTGACCTGTAATTCTTTTTGATAAATTCTTACAACAATTATATACTTTTCCAACATAATTTGAAAGACCACCAATTACAATCACAGACTTAATAACAATCAACAAATTATTACGGTATTTAATTATCGAAAGCACTAGCGGCCAAATTAATAAAAGCGACAATAAAATGTTAATGCACATCAATGCTCTGAACCAAAACTGGTTATTCTTCGGCGGCCATGTGAAGGTAAGAATCACCGATAACTTTGTAAACTCAGGTGCCGCGACTAGTCAACCGACGACATTTCAACCGCGACAGTTCAACCGCGAAATTTCAACCGACGACTTTCCAACCGAAGGACAATTCAACCGATGACAGTTTAACTGCAGTTTTTCTGATAAATTGATGACAAAATCCATGATAAATGGGCCTAACACGGTAACAAGCTTCTGTGTTGGTCTAATGTCAAATAAATACACATAAAAACCATGTTAAAAGGGCGCAAAATGATTACCCGCATTTGTGTTGGTCTAATGTCGAATAAATACACACAAAAACCATGTTAAAAGGGTGCAACACAAATTACCCGCGTTTGTGTTTATAATATCGTTGCTGACTATAAATCTACAAATAAATTGAAGTATCTTCATGATATTGCGTCTGTTTTGTCGTTGTAATTTATCATGATATTATTTTAATTAATCGTCATCTAACATTACTGTATATTCGTTATTTCGTTTTTAAATATATAAAAAACGGTCAGAAATTTAGTTTTTGTTGCATTTCAAGATATGTAATAATAATAATACTAATAATCACAATTATAAAGTTTTTTTCGCAGTATTTCAAAAATAAAAAAATGATTATTGTGCCCTATTATCATGGATTTTGTGATCAATTTATCAGGAAAACTGCAGTTAAACTGTCATCGGTTGAATTGTCTTGCGGTTGAACTGTCGCGGTTGAAATGTCCGCGGTTGAACTATTACAGAACCGTAAACTCAATAGCTTTTTCGGGAGTTACTTCAAATGCTCAACTTCTTAAAGCTTTATAATTCATATAGACCGGAGGCTAGCTGCCGCTTTATTTAAAATATCCTATATTTAACAGCCGCTTAGCTCTCTCATATCGATTCAAGTAAAAGGACTAGCCGTAAGTAACAAAGGGAGTTGCACGAATCCCCGGCTTTTGAATAATTAATCACTATTGCAAGAAGCACTAACACTAAACGCATCTAATATTTCTCAAACGATTAATTCTTGTATAATTACAACCAACTATAGTCAGGCATTTTTTTCAGGGAAAACTCTTGCTGCACTAGCTCTAAAGTGTAAATTGTAATAACTTGACCTCTGAATTCAGGGTTCACCAGAAGACAAAGCGCTTAAGTGTTTTTATTAATATAGACTTATACTAGCGGGAGCTATGGTGGATTTATTTTCCTCTTTTGGTAGTTTTTATTCTATTAAATTTTACAAGTTGTATTATAAAATAGAGTAATATTTCATATTCTAGGAGTTTACTGCGGCACGAATCGTCGCAAAGGTGGAAAACGCCGCCGATAGAAACTGAAAATACAAATTTAATTAATTATTAATGGTTAATCGTATTTTTATATTGTACGTGATGGAAAATAAACTTACCGCTGCGTAATATTCATTGGAAAGATTATTTAGAAGACCTGGGATGTTTATTACAACTGGCTTTTGGCTCCTGAGGAGAACTATGCTCCACATTTTCCTAACTTTTGGCTCGTGTTTCCAAGAGGAGCCGAAAATTTCTTCTGACAAGGTACTGCTCGACTGTTAATAAATTTTTCTTTTTACAATTGAAAAAAAAATTTTTTTTATGGTAAATTTATTTTAAATAATTTCTTAAATTAATTAATTTAACTAATTTTAAAGCAAGAGTTGATTTTTTTTTAATACGTAATTAATTTATTTTATAAATTTTTAAAGAATATTTTAATTATCACATTTGATCAACAATTTGGAGGTGATAAAATAAATTTTAAATATTTTTAGTAAAAATAGTTTTTTGCAAAATATATATTTTAAAAATTCCTAAAAAATTTTTAAATCATAAAATTAATATTTTAATTTTTTAACATTAAAAAAAAAATTACAATTTTTTTTTTTTTTTTTTTACTTATTCAATTGATTAATTACTTACGACAGTTATTAAATAATCAGCAGCCCAACTACAGACATAAATATTAGCCGTAGTACTCATAACCATGATTCCAAATTGAACTTTAACTGCCAATGGTTCATTCTTTTATTCCCAAAAATAAATAATAAAAAAACCATAAATACGCTTTAGATTATAAAAATATAATTAAAAAAAAAAAAAAAGAAAAGAAATTCCTTACAGAAATCAAAAAAATACCTCCAAAGATCATTCCAATTTTGGTTACAGACACAGTAGAGAACGCCATTATCCGGGTCGGAAGGATTAATTTATCTGCAAATCTAAAAAATAAAACATCAACAAAATAATCTAAAAAAACAATTTTAATATCAATTATTTACATCAACAAATCTTGATGTTTCTCAACAAAATGACACAGCTGGTCATGATTAACCACTGACTTACTTTCAGCACCAAGTAACTCAAACTTGGCGCTCAAGAACCAGATAAACAAGGCAGCTTGACAGTCGAGAGCCATCCCGGCGGAGCACTGGTAGCCGACAAAGCACTGATGTAAGTAAACAATCCTCGAAATTACGGGATTGTCCACCGAAAAAGGATAAACAGCATCAGTGGGAAATTTTTGGGGCAACACCAGAGGCCCAATTAGTATTGCAGTGGTTGTTAAATAGTAACTGCACGTCATAAAAAACTGAAACTTCCAGCACTTGTCGATTAATTTCTGCATAACTATTTTTTCTTGGTCGTTTGCTTTGTCCACGAACTTATCGACTATTGATCTGAGTTCCTGAAAGGTAATTTTATCAATTCTTTTTAATTTTAATAATTAATAAATTACAGACCTGCAATTCTTCATGATAAATCCTCACGGTGATAACTTTAGCGACGTAATTAACGATACCGCAAATGAAAATAACGGACTTTATTATGATAAAAAAATTGTCCGAGTGTTGGATAATTGAAACGATTAGAGGTAAAAGGAGTGCGATGGATAAAAACACGGAAAAACACATGAATATTTTGAAGAGGAACAATCTTTTCCGCGGAGGCCAGGCACATGTGAGGAATACTGTAAGCTTTGTGAACTTTATCGCTCTCTTGAGAGTCACTTGGACGTTAAATCTCATATTGGCTGTTTTTAACGTTACCAGGTGTTACTTCAGAGGCCAGCCTTTTCATATTGATCAGGAGGATTCTACAAAGTCTGAAAATACCCGACAATGCCTCTCCGTGTAACGAAAAGGCTTTGAATTAATAATTTTATCAAACACGGAAATAGTTAGCGCATATTATAGTCATATTTGCAGAACATATAATTTTAAACTCTCGTTAGTTATTATTTTAATAAGTGCCTTAGTGTTGGAAGCAAGGGGTTTGTCTGTAGTTTAGTCAGACGCTAGAGCTTTACTAACTATAAGCTTGTTATCGTAAGGAGGTGTTACGGCAGTATTAATTTTTTTTTAGTTTTAACAAATATTTAAAACAATTTATCGCTAATTTTATTTTAGAAATATAAATTGTATTTTTATTATAAAAAATAAAAATAATAAATTATTTATATTACTACATTTAATTATTTAAATATTATTGTAATTGACTTTCATTTTTTGACAAATTTTTATAGAGTACACGGAAAAGAAAATGCGGTAAATCCAACTACACTTGGAGTAGCATTTACCACAGGATGGACTAAAGTATATATACGCTATAGTGTGTTTACGGATGATTTTCATGTGTTTCTGTAACAACTCCAAGTGATGTTGGATTTACCGCACGTTTTTTTCCGTGTAAATTTACAATGAAAAATACTAATTTTTTTTTTTAGACATTTTTTTGTGACAGGGAAAATCGAACTTCCAGGGGTCATTTTCGACCCCAATAATTGACGCACGGTAGGTAAGGGCTTTCCCTTACCGTTCGATTTTTTTGACAAGAATTTCGACTTGTCACCGGGCGTGCAAATCACAGGTCCCTACTACTGTCAGGAAATGATCGAGACTTTTTCCTTTTTTTTTCTCTGGAAGCCAGTGGCCTGTTGCCTTTTGTAAATCAGTGACCCTTTTTTAAGACCAGTTTAAATTAGACAGTGCAGTCTTGGTAATTAAGAAGCAACTACGGAGGAGTTTTATCATGTTGTTTGGAAGTGGACAAGCCCTGATCAGGGGCCAGCATCGTGGGTTGAGACGACAAGACGCCAAGCAGCTGGGCCAGTCAAGTTGGACCGGAGTATCAATCGTCGTTGGTTAACAAAAGTTGAGTTACCAGGTATTTTTGAGTATTTTAGGCCAGAATTGATTAATTATTTAATTAAGAGGCTGAAATAATTAAAGTTAATTTCTCGAGCGGTCATTGTTACATTAGCAAGTTTAGTACTTTAGAAATTTATGCGTCAAGGTCATTTAGTTTGTTTTCGTTACTGGATATTTATCTTTAGAGAATGAAATTAATAGATTATTGGTGAATTTACGGTAGATAATTGAATCAGTCATTTATTATAGGCCTGTTGGCTATAATAAATTAATTTAGTTAATAATTTCAAGATATAAAGAAAAGTGAATTTGTATAGTAAATGAAAATGCGTAATTAAGTCAGTAAAGGTCATTCTAGTATGTTCTATAGTTGAAAATTTTGTATTGAGACGCTAAGATATTAACAGTTGATGTTTAGAATTTTGTTTAGAAAAGATTTAATTTAGTAAATTTTGTAACGAGTTCAGTAGAATTTATTAATTGAAAATATTAGCAGAAAATTTAGTAAGTGAACTAGTACAGAAATTTAGTAATTATTTAAGGTAGTTGAATTTATTTGCAGTAAATCAGTGTTGAAGTGAAATTAAGTAGATTATGATAGTATTGTAAGTTTTGGAAAGTTTAATTTAGGCCGGTGGATAATGTAATTGAATTGTTAATTTAGAAAAGGTGCATAATGAATTTATTAAGAAATTGTTTAAATTTAAAGATAATTTATTAGAAAATTGCGATAAAGTAATTCGGTGAATTTAGTAAATTTAGTAAATCCGAAAATTGGATTTTATTTATGAATAATTGTTGAGAGGTTATTTAAGAAGATTTAAGAAATGAGTTTAGATAATAAGAAATTTATGAGTAATTAAATTTAGTAAACCTGAATATGTGAAGAGTTTTGTTGAAGAATTGTAAATTATGATAGGATTAAAATTTGGAATTTTAATTCAGTAGTAATTTAGTTAAATGAATAAGAATTAAGAATGAATATGAATTTGGAAGCTTTTTATGAAATTTGGAAATTTTATATTGTCAGTTATTCCGCCAAATAACGAGGGTTTTAAGTAATTAAGGAATAGAAGATAGACGCGTAATGGTCTATAATTGAGTTAAAAGTTAAGAATCTAGACGCGTAATGGTCTATAATAGAGTTTAGGAATTAAGAAGATAGATGCGTAATGATCTATGTTTAAAAGAATTTAATGATATTTAGTTTATAAGATTTTTTTTGTAAGTGCCTGATTGAGTGGGCGTTTTCTGGAAATTTTGTATTAAGATTTTAACTGTAAAACAGTCTTGTTATTTTGTTGATTGTTAAGGTTTATTTTATTGGTAAATAAATTTTATTAACTGGATAAAATTGTCCTCAGTATTTATTTACAGCCTTGTCTCAACTTCTCACGACCCGACTTTCCTGCTTGTGCTCTTCCGGTTTCTGGGACACCGCGAAAATAATCCCTAGTGGCGCCCTTTTCTTAAGGAAAGGGGTGACCAATTGAACAGGGTTAACCACCCCGTTACATTTTTTTAATTAAATAAAAGTGTACATAAATAAATAAATGAATATTTAAACGAAAAATTAGAATGTAATATGGTAAGTTAATTAAATAATAATTGATTAATCTATTTTGTTAACTAATTTAATGAATAATTTAACTTTTATATGAAAATTAATCCATCTAAGAGTTGAGAACAGCCCTTAGTGCTGTAAAAATAGAAAACGCTGCCGAGAGGAACTGAAATAAATATTTTTTTTGTAATTTTAAATTAAAATTAAAATTATTTATCGAGAAAAATTGAACTAAAAAATATTTTAATGTTTTACTTGTTGAATTAAGATATTTTTTAATCAACGTAAAAGTACATACCGACGAGTAATATTGATGAGAAAGTGTCTCTAAAAACCCAGGAATGTTTATCACGACAGGATGCTGCGCCCTATGGATGATAAGGAGACAAGACTTTTTCATTTCCAGAGTCCACGTCCTGAACATGTCCAGCACCTTATTCGACACACCATAACTCGTCTGAAAAGTTTAAACTTAGCTCATTGAAGTAATAAATAAAAAAAAAAAAAAAACAAGACTCATGGGAGGGTAAAGAACCTTACAATGTCTATTAGACAGTCTGCTGGCCAGATGAATGTGTAAATATTAAGAGCGATAAAGCTAATCATTATTGTACACTGAACTTTTTCGAATGAAGTTCCGTTCTATTAATAGTTACAGATTTAATTATTAACAATTAATAAATCCAAGTGCAATAATTAAATAAAATAAATGTTTATTTAACTGATAGCAAAACTACCCCGGCACAAATCATAATGAATTTATTATTGATTGCGACCGAGGAGAAAATTACTGCACGAATCGGCGGAATTACTTTCTTGGTGAATCTAAAATAAATAATAAATATAAATAACTTAAAAAAGTTCTTTTAAAAATTAATTAATAATTAATATAATTTTACAGCAGTAGAGACTGGTGGTTCCTGATAAACTGCGCAAGCTGATGCTGGTTCTCGACATAATCCATCTGAATTATGAGCCCCTCAAACCTTACACACAAGTACCAGAGGTAAATCGCCATTTGAGAGTCAACAGCCACTCCAGGGGAGCACTGGTACGCGACCAGGATCTGATGTAAGTAAACAATAATCACAACTAAAAAATTTTCCGTCGAAAAAGGGTACACTGCGTCTGTTGGAAATTTTTGCGGCTGCACCAAAGGCCCCAATATGAATGCCGTGGACGCCATGTAAGTCCCAAAAGTAACGAACAATTGAAATTTCCAGCACTTATTTACGAATTTTTGGATTATTTTTCTCTCAACTTTCCCGGCATATTCTCTACGAAATTTGTTACAGTCAATTGCAACTTCTGTAATCCCACCGACAATTTTTATTTACCCTCAGAATAATATTAAAAATTTTTAAATATTCTAACAAACCTCAAATTCCTTCCCGTAAATTCTGACAATCACAACTTTCGCTACGTAATTAATCATGCTGCACATGATGGCCAATGCTTTCAGCACCAGAAATAATTTTTCAATGTTCTCTACTATCGAAAAGACTAAACCAAAAAATAACGCTATGCATAGAAGCACAGAAATCCATCTAAATATTTTGAACAACAAGAGCCTGAATTTGTTTGCGTCGGATGGCGCGAACATGTAAGCCAGGAGAACCGACGCCTTGGTGAATCTAATAGCCGCGTTTCTGGAGAAACAATGAATCCAGCCTTCATATTGATTAGCTTAGTTTATTAGCACGGCTGTCAAATAACGACTGTGGATGCATTAAAGTTACTTACCAGCTGAACCCGGAGCTTCTGAATAAATTATTATTATCGCGGAAGTTGTTAATAACGCACATTGAATCTTGTTATTATTTTAATTACAGGCCTAGAATTGTGTTCGGACCTGACAAGCTAGTTTAATACGCTTTTTAAAATATTTTACTTTATTGTTACCGATTAGTACTGTGAAGAAAATTGTCAGATAATTATTTAACCATTGTAATATATTATATTTTAACAGATAATAACATTTTTTGTAATTCATTTTTGAGTTAGGAGTTTACAACAGCGTGAATTGTTGCAAAGCATGAAAACGCTGCTGATAAAAACTGAAATTTGAGTAAAAATTATAAAAAAAAAGGTACTTTATTTATTTATTTATTTTTTTCTTAACTTACAGATGCATAGTATTCGCTTGAAAGAGTAGCGAGAAGACCTGGAATGTTTATCACAATTGGCTTCTGGGCTCTGTGAATTATAAAAAGACATATTTTTTTCGTTTTCAGGGAGTGACGGTAAAACACATTGAAAATTTCACTGGACATGGCCGCTCCCGACTAAAAAATTTTAATTTTTAATAAAAAGAGCTACTAAATGTAGTATAATTTTTTTTCTTACAAGATTTATCAGATCATCTGCAGCCCAGGAGTATAAAAATGTGTTGAATGTTGAGGATATTGCTACCATGACGAACTGAAGCTTAACTAGAAGAGACTCGTCCTGAAAATATTTTTACTTAATCAATTGTAAGTACTTGTTTAATTTACATTTTACCGAAATTAGAAAAAACCCACTAGAAATCATTAAAATTTTTGTCACTGATATTGTTGTAAACGCTAGGGCGCGAATTGGCGGGATTAATTCGTCGGCAAATCTGAAAATATTGTTTTTTAATTTATAAAATAACGATATTAAATTTTTCAGAGAAAATTTCAATTAATTTTTTCTAATAAAAAAATGATATTTATTTTGAGCAAATTCATCAAAATTATAAAATAAAAATTGAATTTTTTTAAATATCTAATAATAAAATAATTACTCACGCGAGTATCTCTTGATGTTGTCTAATGTACCAACACAAATCCTCTCTTTTAGCCACTCGATTAATTTCAGACACGAGAATATCAAATTTGGCGTTGAGGTACCACAAAAACAACGCTGCTTGTCCGTCCAGAACCATTCCAGCAGCGCCGAGATACGCTGCAAAGCCCTGATGAGCATAAATAATTCCAGCAACTACAGGATTTTCCACAGAAAAAGGATACACTGCGTCCGTGGGGAATTTCTGCGGCAGCACCAACGGCCCCATAATAATTCCCGTAGCTCCAAAGTAGTAACAGAACACCATAAAAAATTGAAATTTCCAAAACTTGTCGACGTACTTTTGAAAAACTACTTTACTGGAGTCACTTGCTTTCAGTATGAATTCATTCAACACAGATCTAAATTTCTAAAGGACACTTTTGTTTAAATCTAAGTAATTTTTTTCTTTTAATTTAAAGAATACAAACCTCAAATTCTCGATGATACCTCGTGACAATTATGACCTTGGAAATATAATTAACAAGAGCTGTCATACAAATCGCGGATTTTAAAATAATTAACATATCGTTGAAATAAATAACAATCGAAAATAGAAGCGGGAAGAATAATCCAAAGGATAAAAAAACGGATAGGTACTTTCGGAATTTGAAGGAAATTTTGGACTCGTCTCCCTGCGGGGGCCACATGCAGGTCAGATAAACACTAACTTTTATAAATTTCACCGCTTTTTCCGGCGTTATTCTAAATCCGCGACTTTCAGTCGATAGTTTCATTTCTAGGCAAATTGTGAACTCTTGCGCGAGTTTATTGATACTGAGCGAGCTCCTGAAAGCTCTCCAGCGTGAAACAGCGAAAGGATGAATAAGTAATGACGCTAACGCGGAAATAGTTTACTAGAAAGGGTTGATATTATATATTTTAAATGTTGGAACTGATCGATCCTATAATTAATGCTTTTAACCCTCGTTAGAAACTAAGATCGCTGTTATTCTAATAACAGGCTGCAATTTTCATGAAGGGTTATTGTTTTGTTATTTACTGCTGGTAAAATACAGAACAAAGTCTTGGATAGTTACTCTAGTGCTATTATAATGTTAATAAAGATCAAGAATAGTATCCATGAAGAAATTTTCTGATAAAAAATTTTCTAAATAAAATTTTTAAATAAGAAACTAAATAAATTATCAGATATGTTGTTAATATTATTGATTATTTTCAGAGAGAAAATTTAGACACAATATACACAATAAATATACTTATTCTAATTACATTTTTAAAAATAGTTTATACAAGTCATTTTTATTAATATTAAGCGTTGACAATAATACGAATCGTTGCGAAGCATGAAAACGCTGTGGATAAAAACTGAAATAGATTTTTTATTAAATATTTAATATTAAAACTGGATTTTGGGTTCTGTGAATTATCAAGACACACATTTTCCTCATTTCCCGCCGAGTAGCGCCAATACAAACCACCAATTTCATTTGACAAAGGCTAATCCTGACTGTAAAGGTATTATTTTTCAGCAAAAGTGCCAAATTAAATTTAAAAAATTAATTTCTTACAATATTCACCAGATGATCCGCGGCCCAGGAGTATAAAAATGTGTTAAATGTTAAGGATATCGCCACAATGCCGAACTGAATTTTGACTGGCAGTATCTCATCCTAAAAAAAGTATTTATATTTAATCAATTAATTATGAATTTTTATTCATTTTACATTTTACCGAAATCAGGAAAAACCCACTAGTAATCATTAAAATTTTAGTCAGTGATACTGTTGTGTATGCAAGGGCGCGAATCGGCGGTATTAATTCGTCGGCAAATCTGAAAATATTAATCTAATAAATTTATTTATAATTAATATAAATTTTTATATACAAAAATTTTCTAGAAGAAAAAATCATATTAAATCATTAAAAAATATATTAATTAAATAATACTTACAATAGTATCTCTTGATGTTGTTTGATGCACCAGCACAAATCCTCTCTATTGATAACTCGCTTGATTTCCGTTACAAGTATTTCAAATTTGGCATTGAGGTACTACCACATGAACAACGCTGCATGTCCGTCCAAAACCATCCCCGCAGCGCACTGATACGCAACAAAGATCTGATGCACATAAATTATTTTAGCAACCCGAGTCGAAATTTAAATCGTAGATTCAACGTATTGAACGTTCAAATCGTAGGTTGAGCGTATTAGACGTTGAAAACGTAGAATCAACGTATTGAACGTTAAAATCGTCATTTGAACGTTATAAACGTTTAAAATGTATGTTGAACGTATCGAACGTATTATAAATGTGAAGAGAACCAATAATGAATGATATAAGTAATATTAAAACTACTGAAATAACTGCACATGTTTGAAACGTAAATAGACAAAAAAAATTTTTTTTCAGTTCTGTTAGAGAGATTTTACATTTCTTTAGCTTAAATTTACCATTTTTTAGAGAGAAATGCTTTATCGAAATTTTTACCCTCGGAATGGTTTCCAAAATTATGTTTAACTTTATGAAATATCATTCATACGATTTTATATCAAAAATGGCCTCATAAATCTGTATATAACAGGATAACGTTTTAGATGATTTTATAAAATTTTATACCACTGAATTTTTACAAAAAAAAATTACAATTTTTAACTTTCCGCTAAGAAAATTAAAAATCTGTAGTTATTTGAGTAGTTTTAATATTACTTTTTTCAGCCATTATTGGTTCTCTTCACATTTATAATACGTTAAATAATACGTTCAACATACGTCTTTAACGTTCATTACGTTCAAATGACGATTTCAACGTTCAATACGTTGATCCTACGTTTTCAACGTCTAATACGCTCAACCTACGATTTGAACGTTCAATACGTTGAATCTACAATTTAAATTTTGACTCGGGAACAAGGGGGTGCTCCACCGAGAACGGATACACCGCATCGGAGGGAAATTTTTGCGGGAGCACCAATGAACCCAGTACAATTCCCACAGCAGCAAAGTACCAGCCGCAAACCATCAAAAATTGAAACTTCCAGCTCTTGTCGATCTATTTTTGGAAAACTAATATGCTTGAGTCACTTGCGTTCAATATAAACTCATTTAACGCGGCCTCTAGTTTCTAATTATACAAAAATACTCATTATCAAAATTTAAATAAAAAATATACTTATTATTGATACAAACCTCAAATTTTTTGTGATAGATCCTTACGATGGAAAATTTAATTAAAAAGTTAATTATCACCGCCGAACATACAATTGATTTCAAAACGATTACCATGTCGTCGATGAAGTAAACCACTGAATATATCATAGGAAAAAATAATCCCAGCGCTACTATAACCGAGAAGCACATGAATAGTTTGAAAATAATTTTAGACTTGCTTCTTAATGGCGGCCACATGCATATTAAAAAAACACTCATTCTTATATACTTCACGGCTTTTTCCGGTGTCATTCTAAAGCCGCGACTTCTAGTCGATACTTCCATTTCTCATCATGAGTAATGCCTCGTGACGTTGTCAAAACATTTGGCAACGCAGGTAGGCTCAAAGATTATGGGGATTACAGAAGACAAGTAACAAACGAACGAGACACATACAGGGATAACTAAATAATATTATAGCTCAACAGGCCTTGCGGCTACACCTCCCCGCATGGGCCCCGCTGGGCAACTGGTCGGATTGTCATTATATTACTGGCCAGGCCAACGTAGTCATTGAATGGAGTTGTATAGGAAGTTTGATACAGTGAACAATTACGAGGACAGATTGACATTAAATTAAATTCAACACCATTCACATTCTGTCCAGTGATAGCGTAAAAGCTGGAGGGCAGGGTTTTTCCTTGCTCGGCGAGTTGACAGTGCTTTTGTTTGGTGAGATTTGGGTTTTATTTTAAGTGCGTGTATAGCTTTTTTAAGTCCAGGAAACGGCCTGTTCGAAAGGAGGCAGACGAAAGTCTCACCAAATAACACACACTTCCATTTCTAATCGAGCTGTTCTCTCTTGCGTGAGTTTATTAACAATAAGCGAGCTCCTGAAGCTGCCATCAACCGCTTAGCAGGTAACGTATGAATAAATAATGACGCTAATGCGGAAATAGTTTATTCAAAAGGGTTGATACCATACATTTTAAATGTTGGAGTTAATAGAATCTATAATTAATGCTTTTAACCCTCGTTAGAAATCGCAATTTCCTTTATTCTAACAATAATAATCTACTATTTCTGCAAAGGGTCTTTGTTCCTTCGAACTTACTGCCTTTAGTACAAAGTTGCAGTTGGTTATTTTAGTTCTGACGAATAATTTCTACAAGCCTTTGTTTCTAAATCAATTCTACAAGACATTGTTAATATTCAACAGTCAATATAATTCTCAAAAATTCCTTTTTACAAATAAATTACTATAAATATTTATTGGTGTTCAATTTTCAGGATCTTCAGTGGCGTAGACTATGCGGAGAGTTGTAAAGTATGAGAAGGTCGTTGATAAAAACTGAAATTCAGATAATTAGTTTCTCTGAAAGGTATTGGATGTATGAATGTTATCATGTCATACTGATGTATAGTACTGAAGACAGAGACTCGGCATTACTCCACGTATGGATATTGTCGTGGGTAATTGAGATCGACGAATAACTGTCGTTGTTGTTCTTATCATATCAACGGAGCCTTTTATCCAATTGCTGTTGTAGACGTTCCAGCTGATTGCTTGACTCTGTAAGTTTTTCAATAAAAATTTCAAACTTAATTACATTTTATAACATTTATTTTCAAAATTAATATATGAACTCTAAGAGTTCTTATATAATATATAGAAAATAAATATAGATAGATAATAATTTATAGGAAATAAATGAATATATCATATTTACCACTTGGATAAGATTGTCAGCAGGCCAAGCATAGATAAAAAGCTCAAAACCTGCGTTCCCAACAATATTAGCAACCCGAAGCTTGACAGATAAGGGTTGATGCTGTACAAATGATTAGTTTACTGCAATTACAAATCCTCTATATGAATTACTCACACTGATCAGCGTCAAGCATCCACAGATGACTCCGATTGTCGTAGTCGCTATTGTAGCAAGAGTTATGTACTGAACTGCATGTTTAACTTCCTTAGCGTACCTACGGATCAATTCAAAAGATCCATTACTCGTAGAAAGCAATTAGCAGCACAATTATTTGCTTCTTTAGTTACCTGAGCACCTGCTGGTGCTTTTTGATGCAAGTTACCAATTCCCGTTCGCTGGAGACCTCCCGAAAGTAGTGGCCCAGGACTTCAAACTTCACGCAAGTGAACCACAACAAGGTAGCAACCTGGAAGTCAATCGTCAGAGCCGCTGCGATGAAAAATAGCGCCATTACCTGCTGCAAGTATAATGCGATTTGCAATGGTTCACTTTTAACGACAAACGGGTACGCAGTGTCTGTTGGATAAGGGTGAGACAAAAGGATAGGCTCAATTATAAACGCCAGACAGACTATCCACATGCTGACGCTCACAAAGACGTGGAAGAACCCGCTCTTCTTGATGTATTTTTGCAGGCACTTTTTTTCTAGAGGGTTGGCATTTTTTATAAAAGTTTCCATCTCGTGGTGCAAAAGCTAAACCAAAAAAGTAAAAATTCATTAAGGAGTCAGTGAGTATAGTTTGATGCTTTACTTGGAGGCGATCAGACTGAAATCGGCACACCAGTAACTTCAAAAGAGCTTGAGCTGACGCACTACTGAGACAAGCTGCTTTCACCATCACCAGCAAGTCGTTTCGATACACGAAGACACCATTTGTTAGAGGTAAGAACAGCAGCAGAATTGAAATAAATGCAGTCCACCAGCGAATGTTGAACCAAATTCTGCTCAACCTGCTCACTGATTTGGACAGTGGCCAGGAACTGACCAAGTAGACGTTCATTTTTGTGAAACGCACCGCGGCCTCGGGACTGGCTGAGAACTTCATTGTCTGATCAGAAGTTGCTCCTTCAGTTGCGGAAATGTGACTGACGGTGATGACTTCACAATGTGGAGGAAGAATGTGGGGGAAGAAAGGGAATTGGTTAAACTAACACCCCTCTGTTATTATAGGTGGTGAATATTATATATCTCTATTCATTCTTCTGCGAAATCAAGATGTATAATTATCGGGAGTATTAGCTTAAGGTTGGAGCCTACGGACAATGAAAAGCTAGACTGCTATTCATCAATTTTAAATAAGTTTACTTCGCCGAGGGTGAGACTGTTTCTAATAATAAATGTTGCGATGTATGAAAAGGGTTTTACTTTTCTTTGTTCCTTGCTACTATATCTTTAAATTTCTTCAATAGAAGTGAATTTGCAATTCTGGAATACTCAGTAACTCTATCGATTCAATGAGGTTATTTTAAATTGTTACAAATTGGATAATGTGTGAGTAAAACATCGAAATTTTTATGCAAAGAATAACCTACGCAAAAATGCGCTGATTTAACCATTTTTTATATCATTCCGTTTTTATATATGGTCAAATCGAAGAATTTTTTTAAAAATAAAATAAAATAAAATATTCTGATAAAACTTTTCAAACCACTTTGTTCTATTTTCCTATACAAATATATTTCCAAATAAACATTTTTACTAAAAAAAAACTATCATTTCTATGGATCTCTTCAATTTTCAGTCTCATCTGCTGCATAAACTGCCCTCAAAGTTGTAAAATACGAAAACGTGGTAGACAAAAACTGAAAAAATAAACTCTATTAAATTCTGCACAAGTTCCAAAAGTAAAATAAACAAACATACTGATGTGTAATAATGCAAACAAAGGCTCGGCATCACTCCACTAATAGTTATCATTACTGGAATCTGTGATCGATGAATAACGTTCATTGTCATTCTCACCATGCTAATTGGAGCGTTTATCCATTTGCTGTTATAAACACTCCATCCAATGTCCTGGCTCTAAAGTAAGTTTTGCACAAGTAATTTCATAAAAGATTTATTCTGTAAGAACATGTACCAACTTTTTGAATAAGATTATCAGCAGGCCACGCGTAAATGAAGAGTTCTGAGGTTGCATTTCCAACAATATTAGCGATGCGCAGTTTTACAGAAAATGGTTGATTCTGCAAATAAAGTATCTATTAGCCTATCAACAAAGAGATTATGTATTTACTTCACTTTTTCCATGAATTACTCACACTGATCAGCGTCAAGCATCCACAGATGACTCCAATTGTCGTAGTCGCTATCGTAGCAAGAGTTATGTAATGAACTGCATTTTTAACTTCCTTAGCGTACCTACAGATCAATTGAAAAGATCCATTACTCGAAGAAAGCAATTAGCAGCACAATTATTTGTTTCTTTAGTTACCAGAGCACTTGCTGGTGCTTTTTGATGCAAGCTACCAATTCCCGTTCGCTTGAGACCTCCCGAAAGTGGTGGCCCAGAACTTCAAACTTCACGCAAGTGAACCACAGCAAGGTAGCGACCTGGAAGTCGATCGTGAGAGCCGCTGCGACGAAAAATAGCGCCATTACCTGCTGCAAGTACAACGCGATTCGCAATGATTCACTTTTAACAACAAACGGGTACGCAGTGTCTGTTGGATAAGGGTGAGACAGAAGGATAGGCTCGATTATGAACGCCAGACAGACTGCCCACATGCTGACGCTCACAAAGACGTGGAAGAACCCGCTCTTCTCGATGTATTTCTGCAGGAACTTTTTTTCTAGAGAGTCGGCGTTTTTTATAAACACTTCCATCTCTTGGTGCAGAAACTAAACCAAAAAAAGTTAAATTTCGTTAAGAAATCAGTGAATATAGTTTGATGCTTTACTTGAAGGCGGTCAGACTGATATCGGCAGATCAGCAATTTTAGAAGAGCTTGACCTGATGCTCCGATTTGACAAGCTGCTTTCACCATCACCAGCGAATCCTTGCGAAACACAAAGACACTGTTTGTTAAGGGCAAGAACAGTAGCAGTAATGAAATGAATGCAATCCACCAGCGAATGCTGAACCAAATTTTGGTTACTCTGCTTATTGATTTAGACAGCGGCCAAGAACTGACCAAATAGACGTTCATTTTGGTAAACCGCAGGGCTGCTTCGGGGGTTACCGACAACTTCATTCTGAGAAACGGAAGTTCGCTCTTTGGTAGCAGAGACTGAACTGACGCAAAAGCTCGTGGGGAGCTCCGTCATTGTAAAGTATAATTACCGTTGCTGAATATTGCATATCTTTGTGCTTTGTTCAGTCTTTCTCGGAATCAAGAATGTATAATTATCGGGAATATAAACTTGAGGCTGGAGCCTACGGACAATGAAAAGTCAGACTGGTATTCATTAATTTTAAATAAGTTTTCCTCACCGAGGGTGAGACTGTTTCTAAAAATAAATGTTGCGATGTAAGAAAAGGGTTTTACTTTTCTTTGTTTTGTTATAAATTTCATTGATATGTAGTCATGCATAGACAAAATTAATCAAATTTTATTTATACATAATAATTTTTACTTTACTAGTCTAGTTTTCTTTCAAATATCAATTCCCTCGGCTCTAACAGAGTATTTAAAAAAAGTAATGTTTTTTTGATATAACATAATATTTTCTAAACAACAGTTCGCTAGTTGTAAAAGCAGTAACATTCAATCGTTTTCTATTTTAGCCAACATGACTCTAAGTGTCGTAAAATAGGACAAAGATTTGGAGAGGAACTGCAACAGATAATTAATAATTTAAACTATAAAAAAACTTTTGAATAAAAATTGCTTTTGTTTTAGTACCGTAGCATAGTAGTTTAATGAAAGAGATGGAACAACTCCAGTGACAGATATGGTTAAAGGTTTGTTCGATCGTTGTATGATCATTTCAATTGACTGATTTAGCTTTTTTGAATTTTTCAACCACTGAGAGCAGTAAATTTCCCATCCGATTTTCTCACTCTGGAATAAAATGTTCAAATAAAGTGTTGTCCCTATAAAAATATTTTTTCTGTCGGTTGATCTGGTCATATAGGGTACAAGTTTTTTAAACGAGTGAAAAAAATAATTTTTATTTTGTTACTTAACATTTTAAAGTTAACTCTCTTGTAGGGAGAGAATTTAGCGACCATGCGCCACCTGTTGGAAATTTTGAACACTATTTCCGGCAAAAAAATTATATATGACCATATTAGGGTTAATATAGAAATGTCAGGACGTTTTTGCACTGATGTACACTCACCATTCTTACGAGCATTTCCGATGGCCACGCGGTGACATACAGAAGCATAGAGAGCCCTCCAACGACAACCACAAACTGAAGCTTGACAACGGTCGGTTGGTTCTAATGTTTTAGAAATTAGAGTGAGTATGTAACAAATGTAAAAAACTACAGAAAGGTCTTACCCCGACAATATGAACGCCTCCTAAAATTACGGCCAATGTCGTCATTATCACCGTGGTTGCTACTATATACTTTCCTGCGCTGATAACTTCTCCAATGAACCTGCAATTAAAAACTCTAAGGTATAAAGTACCGCCTAGAAATATTCCATGAAATATATTGTAAATACCTGAGCAAAAATTGATGTTTACGAATGCACTTGTAAAGCTGTTTGTTGCAATCTATTTTCTTCATTTCCAGGCCAAGGATCTCCAGTCTTGCGACGGAATACCAAAGGAGCATCGCCAATTGGCAGTCAATCGCGGTAATAGATGAGCAGAGAATTCCTGCGTACGCCTGATCGAAGTAGACAATGTCATAAATCGGATGGTTAGTCACAGCAAACGGATACTTGGCGTCCGTCGGAAATTTCTGAGGCAGAATCGCAGGACCCAGGATAACTCCGACGCTTCCTAACAGTGCGAAAACGTTCAAAGTAACGTGCACCATCCCACAATCTCTAATGTAACCCAAAAAGGTTTCTCTTTCGTAAGAAGCTGCACTTTTTACGTAAGTCTCCATTTCTTCTAGCAAATACTATCAATAATTCTGATTACTGACAATTATTTTGGGTTAATATTCATTAAGGTGTATCAAAAAAATCGAAAAAATGCCTTAATAAATTTTGTATCTAAATAAAATTTAAAAAAATCAATCATTATGCTATAAAAATTAAAAATTAAAATTTTCTTAAAGATAATTTGAAATTTGAAAGAAAAAAATCATTTTTTAATTTTTTTATACACCCTAATTTAATAAAATATTGAAACCTGAAATCGTTGATGCTGAAATTTGCACAGGAGCATTTTAATCATGCACTGAAAGCAAGCCACCGCTAAGCAGAGAGATTTTGTAAACTCAAGTACGTTTTTTCGGTCAATGTACGCGGCGTAGACCAGAGGAATCACTAGACACATTCCTAACAGCCACGAAATCCACCATTTAATAGTGAACAATGCTTTTTGGCACATGCTGACGTCTTTATAGGGGGGCCATGAGCACACCAAAATAGTTACGAATTTGGAATAGGCTATCGCAAACTCGGGATTAATTTCGAACATTATACGTTCACTGATACTTTACGAATTATTATTGACCTCTACATATAGAAGGTTTAAAGATAAAGGGGTTGTATTGACCCGGAGTTCTAAGTCTTTGTGTGGCTTGTGTATTACTGCCGAAGATTTGTTAACTGCGGCAGCGCGTTCGCTCCGAAGTTGATGCGTTAAATAATAATCGACAAAGGAATAGAGTTAATTACACCTCACATATATACGTGATTATTATTAAATTGTACTAACTGTAGTGCTACTATGCAGTAAGATAATCATATGGTTAAATTACTTCTGGATCTCCGCGTCTTTGTTATGGGGTTCAGCGACCTAAGCAGACCCTTAAATACAAACTGAGGTCATTTACAGACAGAATATGTTGGCTTTTTTGTTTCGACAGGTGTTGCGTATAAAATTATGTAAAATTAAAGTTTAGTACAGTGAAATATTTTTAAGAAATGCATTTAAAGTTTTGTGTTGGATAATATTATTTCATCCCTTGTAGAAAAAATAAATGAAATATATTAAATATCTATTTAAATTGCACTTAAAATATATAAAAAAATTGGTTATAATTTTGCTGTTAAAAATATTTTTTTATAAATATTTTTTCCCTATTCATTTTAAAAAATAATTTTTTATTAGTATTTTTTAAGACAGAATTCCACCGTTTTTTTCAACATAAAATATAAAAAAAAATTATTTTCATTCTATTTTTCTTCCTAACGAATTTATTAAATAAATTAAATTAAATTGTCAAGGATTAGGTTAAAGGTTGTCAATAAAAAATTACTTTTATTATTGTTATTGATTTAAATAATTGTCAACAGGCCACTTGAAAAAGTTTATTCCATTTTAGCCAATATAATACGAAGAGTTGTGAAGTAAGAAAATGTTTTTGACAAAAAAGTTGCATAGTAGTTCAACGACAGCGCTGGAAATACTCCTGAAAGGGAAATCACTGCAGGCTTGTTCGATCTTTGTATAACGAACTCTATTCCTTTGTTCAGTTCTTTAGAATTTTTCAGCCATGGAGAATTGTAAATTGTCCAGCCGACGTTTTCGCACTGAAAAATCATTCTTAAGTTAAAAAAAAAAAACATTAAAGAAAATTAAAACTCTCTTGGGTAAGAAAAAGTTTTATTAAGCCAAAAAGGATTATTTTATTTATAAATAAATGAATTTTTTTATTTTCAGAGACGTTTTATTAATTATCACGTACCATTCTGGTGAGAATTTCCGAGGGCCAAGCAGTGACGTACAGTAGTATAGAAAATCCTCCAACAATGATCACAAATTGCAATTTAGCGATCAATGGTTCGTTCTACTATTAATGTCTTAATTAAAAATAATCAAAATTTATATTTTACTTCTAAATTTTACCCCGACAATATGAACGCCTCCCAGAATTACAGCCAGAGTCGTCATTATAACAGTAGTTGCGACCAAACACCTTCCAGCTTTGATAGTCTCGTCGACAAACCTGAATTAAACGGTTTATAGTTAAAAAAACAAAATGTTTTAATCAAAAATTGATCAAAATTACCACAATAAATACTGATGCTTGCGAACGCACTTGTAGAATTGGCAAACGCTGGTTATCTTCTCCATTTCCAGGCTCAAGATGTCCAGCCTGGCGATCGAGTACCAGAGTAGCATCGCGATTTGGCAGTCGATGGACCCGATCGAGGAGCAGAGAACCCCCGCAAAGGCTTGATGGACGTAGATAATCTCGTAATTCGGATGAGTCTCCACGGAAAAAGGATACTTGGCTTCCGTTGGAAGCCTTTGGGGCAGGACAAGAGGCCCCAGAATCACCCCAATACTCGCCACCAAGGAACAAACGTTCAGAACAACGTGGACTAGTCCGCAGTTTTTTATGTAATTTAAGAAAATTTGTCTTTCGGACGGCACGCTTACTTTTACGTATTCCTCCATTTCGTCAAGAAGAAACTGTTTGATAAATTTTTGAGCTTCAGAAAATTTAATAAGAAGTTTAGCTTTACTTAATTAATATCACTTGATTTGTCGATATATGATTTTTTGATAAAAAAATAATTCTAAAAACTTCCGACAGATGGCGTATGATCGCTAAATTATCTCGTAGGAAGAGAGTTAATTTTTTTGATATTATATTAGAACAAAAAAAAAATTTTTTTACTCTTTTTGAGAGCTTATGAGTTATTAATTTATAGTTTAATCAATTTTTATTCAAAATAACATGATACGAATTAAAAAAAAATAATTATTATAATAAATATTTATTTTCTGTAAGTATAATAGCTTACAATCAAAATTGGGCAGATCAGAAAATTTTTCTGTATTTTTGAGGCTTAAAAAATCTCTTTCGGAAATATTTGCAATTTTTTAATCATAGAAAATTTTTAACAATTAAAATTGAAGGCTCGACTGCTGAATTTTTGAAAAAAAAAATTCTACCTTAATTCGCTGATTCTGAAGCTTGCAGAAGAACATCTTGACCGCGCACTGCCCACAAGAAACCGCCAGGCAAAGAGATTTCGTGAATTCTAGCACATTTTTTCGATCAACAACTGCCGCGTAGATCAGAGGAACCACCAGGAAGATCCCCAGCAGCCACGAAATCCACCATTTTACGTTAAATACCACCAAGTCGCGCTTACTCGAATTCCTCCCCGGCGGCCAAGAGCAGACTAGCGTAACTGTTAACTTTGTATACGCAATCGCGAACTCTGGATCAACTTTAAACATTTTGTAGTCGCGGCTCCCCTTCGAGTGTTTGCTCACCAGAGAGAAGCTCATAAGATATTCACGACTTTCTCACCCTATAATTTACCTGGAAAGCTTTATTTATATCTTCTATAGACAGCTAGAGTCTTTTTCAAAATATATTTTCAAATTTTTCAGGAAATTTTTATCTTAATTGCCTTTTTGCAAATCTCTAAAAGCTGCAAATTTTCACACCTTAATTACAAAATAATTTTTATATGACAAACTTTTTTTCAATTCAAAATTTAACAATAAAATTTAAAAAAAATATGGTGATATTTGATTGAGCCTGTACATGCACGGATAGAGTAATATTAAATAATAATTCATCTTTTGTATTATTTAATTGCTATGAAGGGGATGAATATCGGAATTTTTTTTTCAAACACTGTAATTTTGTCTATTATTACAGTAGAAGCAAAATTTTAAAGCCTTTCTCTAAGAGTTCATTTACCTTTAAAGTGAATAATAATTTTAACATAAAGAATTTTAAATAAAATATATTTTTTAAAGCCGAAAAAAAATTTTTTAGCTTGTTAAAATTATTAAAATAATTTTTTTGAAGCATATATTAATTTTTTATCACTTGAAAAAATTTAAATTCTCGGATAAATTGTATAATTATCATGAAATGATACTTAACGTTGTAAGGTAAAGAAGGAGATAACATTTCCGACAACTGGTAAGATCAACAAGTGGTAAGTTACCGACAAACGCTGTTGTGAGTGTTACGGTCGGTAGGGTAGATAAAAATTATAATATTTTTGTTATCTAACTAAGGTGATAACACACTACATTATATTGAAACAGCGATGCAACTGATAATACCGTCATTATAATTGATTAACCTGATTGCACATGTAGAAGCAGCGTGGAACAAAACCAGACAATGATTAAAATACTAATCCGTGGAGGGAGCTTAAAACAATAACGGGATATTGACGTGATATAACTGCAATAGATAATAAATAATAGTTGATAATATTTTATTATCAAAGCAATAAATTCAGATGATGGATAATAAGTACGGTGACAGAATGAGAATGTGAATGTGAATATGATTCACAGTTGATTTGATGACATTAATTTTCCGAGTTTCCCGGATAGGCGCTCAATTTTGGATTCATTCTCGTTCTCGCAGCCTCTATTGCACGTACATCCGTGATTTACTCCGAAGACCCATTAATTGGCGTATGGCTTCGATGATTGAGCACACCTAATCAATCTTCACTTCCTATTGTCCGATTATTCGCTGCATCCCATTTTTTGTTCAATCTCCTGCTGTTGGAACGAAATTTTATTTTTAATCAACGATTATTGTTCCGGACAATTTTATTTCTACTCTGGCAAATTTTTTATTTAATTAGAATACTCGATAGTTACTTTTGTAAAAATGTGAGGAAAAATTTTCAAAAATGAAAATAAATATTGAATTTTTTTGGTAGAATAAAAAAAAATAAACAAAAGTTTGGATGAAATTTGAATAGAAAAATAAACTTGATACTGAAAAAAAAAAAAAAAAAAAAAAAAAAAAAATTGATACTCGCCCATCTGCAATGGGAATTTCAGTAAAAAATTGTGAACCAAAGAGAATCGCAACGAGGTAAATAAAAATATTTATAAAGTAATTTAAATTACAGTAAACATAAATATTGATGTGAGACTTACTAATAAAGCATTGAGGGTATCAAAACAACGAGAACTGATACAGAACTGGCAGCTAAAATACCCAAGAGTATTACCGCAATCTCAACAGCCGTAGGCTCGACCGTATTCGGTTTCTATACACCAATAAAAAATAAAAAAATAAAAAATAACAAACACCGAAACATAAATATAAACAAAAATAGTCTATTGAAAAGAACACGGCTCGAAATAAATGCTCGAGGTCAGACAACAGAGGAGAACAATCATTAAAAAGTTCGGCAACCTCCACATAATACTCTATCGATTCCGGTACAAAAAACAATACCGCTCTAATTGAATAAATTCATTAAAACTTGTAGGAACAATTAAGTGGATTATTTAATAAATTTTGACGAAGCAACAATTGCCAGGTCTAAAGTACAAAGTCGGTTAAATTAATTAATTGCGTTACAAATAATTGTTTTTCATTTTCAAAACTAAAGTTTAATTGCTTGTAGAACTTTTTATCATTATTGCTATTATTAAGTTAATTAACTCGTTACCTACCTGAGTGCTGGTGGTCTGAGAGCAGACAAAGGCGCCCAGTGATAAGAAAAATACCACCGATGAAAGCCGGAGCATTTTCAACCTAATAGGTGCTTCCTATCGGAGAAATTTTAAGACTGATTGCTGTCGAGAGTTAACAATACTGTACTGAAGTCCGTCTTTGGTGTCCGCTATCGTTATCAGAGTCTTTTCTTATCTGTGTAACGAACTCAGTAAAATACTCGATTTAATTATTGTTTTGCTAACTAATTGTTTCAATTATTGATAAGATACTGATAAGTGGCCATCGCAAACATTCATTTATTCTCAATGACATTAAATGTATTCTGGTAAAAAAAAATATTTTATATTAATTATGAATATTTGACTAATTAATAAAATAATTTTAATAATATTTAAAGTTTTTTTTAATAAAAAATTGTTAGTGTTGTTAAAAAGAGTCTAATTACTCGAAGAAAAAATAAATTTACTCCCAACAAATGTAACAAAAAAAAAAAAAATAAATGTAAAGAAAAAGACGCTGACGTCAGTAGCACACAATTCTTGGTGGAGTTTTCTACGCTGACACTAACTCAGAGACAGAGAAAAATGAAGATTATTTAGGTGGTACACTTTGGCAATTTTCAAGTGGTCTCATCCGAGCCGTTTAGACACCGACACCCGGAATTTTTCGAGTGTAGTTGTAAGCTTGCCCGGGCTGATATTGCCACTTTTATTTATTTACTGCGTTTTCCATTGTAAAAAATAAATTCTTACCTTCAATTTTATTTTTATTAAAAAAAAATTTTTTTTATGAATCTACAAATTGATTTTTATTAATTCTTTTTAATCGTCGCGCGAATAATCAAATTCTCCACGACGCAAAATGATAATTAATTTATTACAGTGATGAAAATTCATGGAGAAAATACAGTGAGTTTTTGGAATTATTTTCATAACCGATAAACGCATTTGCGAATAATTTAAAACTAATTATTACAAAGCTCCCGGGACATAATTGTGATATGAATAATTATGATACTCATGAATTTATAATTAATTAACTTTACCTGGAATTTCATCAATAAAATTATCCTATCTATAATATATATATATATATATATATATATATATATATATATA